ACAGTGACAGAGGTCCAGCATTCATTTCTAAGATAACCCAGAGTCTAGCTACAGTGTTAGGGTTCAAATGGCAATTGCATGTTCCCTATCATCCACAGAGCTCAGGCCAGGTTGAGAGAATAAACTTGACTATAAAGGAAAAACTCACTAAAACAATGTTGACCACAGGACTAAAATGGGTAGACGCGCTGCCGCTAGTTCTGTGCTCAATCAGAAACTCACCAAATGCAACGACAGGGCTTAGCCCACATGAAGTATTGATGGGAAGGCCAATGTTCACAGGATCTAGTCCTCCAGTAATGCCCCACAGACTCACTCTTTTGTGGACAGAGGATTACATGACTAACTATGTCAAATATCTAACTGACATGTTGAGAAAGTTTCACAGGCAGGTGGCTGACAGGCTCCCCCAGCCTGGTGAGGAGCCCACCCACCCTTTTCAGATTGGTGATAATGTACTAATCAAATCGCTTGAAAAAGATTCTTTGTCTCCCAGGTGGAAAGGTCCTTTCCAGGTATTAATAGTGACCAGAACAGCCCTGAGAGTACAAGGTAGAGCGGAGTGGATTCACGCTTCAAGATGTCGTCTCTCTCCTCTACCGGATGCTGGCGTGTGAAGGCAGTCACCATCATCGTCATTCTGGGTTTACTGTACCTGGCCAAGAACGCCCTGCTAGATGAAGCTGTGACAATCCCAACGACAGGTGGCAAGGGACCTCGCCCATCTGAGGGAGAAAATAAGGTGCTCTTATCTAAGAGCGCAGACGACTTGACCACTCAGGGTCCAGACCCTGAGGGCAAAACAACACCAACGGGCAAAGAAGTGCCTAGCGACAAGGACAGGTTGTATCCAAACACCACACAGACACTCAGTATGGTGCAAGAGACAAAAAGAGAGAGAAAAGGAGGGAGAATAAGGAGGATTGTCTCCCTCCCTGATCATAAGTCAGAGACTATTGCCGTTAACTGCCCAAGTTCAATATGTGACTCATCTAACTGTATTATTGTGTTTCCTGTGTTCTCAGTTTACTCAACATGGGAGTTATATCCAGAAAACCAGTACTCTCGGTTCAGGGTCGCACCAGAGGGGGTAAGGATGGTTCTTAACACCATCGAAGAAATGCCCCCAGAACTGTGGTGTAGCACGATAGAACGGTTCGAGGCACTGATAAGGAAGGAGGTAAAATGTACAGTGCGGAAGCCAGATTACCGCATTCCCAATCTAGGTGATACTGCATGCACAGTTACTGGACCAAATAGCAAAACAAATGTTCCATCTACTCCACTTAAACAATCAGGAGGCGAGGTAGATTCTTCAAAAAAGGCCTTAATTACTCCTTATAAACAAACTAAAACTAATTCTGCAGTAAGTTTAATGTTAGACTATGCACATGAACGTAATGTTAGCAACTGTTGGTTGTGCCAAAATATGCCAGAATCAATGTATTCTCCCATGTTTAGCCCAATTCCTTTCACAAAAGCTGATTACGGTTTAGTAAACTGGAATGACATAGCATCTAGAATTAGCGATGAGGCTGAGGACTGTTACACTCCTTCCTACCCAATAGACTCTGAAAAACCTTTACAGTACAAGGGCTTAGTCTCTCTCATTGTTGATACAGTAAATAAAGATTACCTGCCTGACGGTTTCAAACGTTTGATGTTTTTAAAATTAATATATATGAAGAAATACGTTAACCTAGCTTTTGAATATAGATTCCAGTTAGCTCTAGCTCAGACTAATTGTTCAGCTAACTTTACAAGTCCAACATGTACAATGCAACCACACACACCCGCTTTGTTAGTGGAAGCGTTGGTAACAGTGGTGCCCTGGTTCGGCTCTAGGACAGTGGACTCCGTTGAGGTTAAAATACATGACTGTACGCAGCCAATACCCTTAGGCAAGCCCCCTACACGTGACTGCTCAGTATATGTCCCCCCAATTGTTGTACATGAATGGAAGAATGTGTCCATCTGTTTCCAGAATGCAGTAGGATCTCACACCTCTCCTGATGTGGGACACAGCGACTGTAATGCCATAGTGAGAGTACATATAGCCAGAATTCCCCTCCCACAGAGAGTTTACTTAGTTTGTGGGGACCGGGCCTATGGATGTGTGCCATATGATGTTTTTTATGGTACCTGTTATCTAGCCTACCTAATCCCTTTAATCCGTAAAGTAGAGGCTACTGAGATTGCAGCAATACTTCCCTCTCTACACAGGAACAGCAGGTCAATTACACAAGGACAACAGATAGCTAGCCTATTCTTGCCTTGGTACGGTATTTATGTTACTCAGCAGGAAATTGTCGCATTGTCTAAAGTGGTAGAACATCATTTAAATGTATCCAACACAGCGATGTTAGCTGAACACAAAGAATTGCAGGAAGTTAGGACAGTAGCACTACAGAATCGTATGGCGCTTGACCTCCTCTTAGCGGCCCAAGGAGGAACATGCAAGGTGATAGGAAGTGAGTGCTGTTCTTTCATATCTGATGCCACACCTGAAGTTATGGACATGGCTCATGATACTGCCAGGGGAATAAAAGAATTGCATGAAACTCATGGGTTTACATTTGGGGAATTAAGTGGAACTTTTGGATCTTGGGGAGCGGGGCTGGTTAAATTTGTTGTTACTGTTTCAGTGTTTATCTTGGTTGTGCTAATCCTAGTGATCTGTTTGATCACTGTGGTTAAATTAGCCATACGAAGGGTTGCCAAGACCGCCCTCCAGGCCCCACAAAGGCTAGTTGGACATTCGACTGTACAGGACACAATATTAATGTACAATGCCGAGCTTCCGGACCCCTGGGTCTCCATCGTGATCTCCGACCCGTGGGTACCTCCATTCAGCGATTGAGATGTTGTTTAAAGTTGATATTCTGAATAAAGAACAGATGTTTTGATAATTGATTACAGTTGATACACTGGATTAAAGGACAAATGTCTGATTTTTCCTTTGCAGGTTGTGATACAAATAAAATGTCTGATTTTCCTTTTCAGATTTTGAACAAGTGTATTTGAATGAAATAAATGTATTACTAAGTGCCTTACTCTTGAATAAAGCGTAATGAAGTAAACGTAAAGTAATGTTAAAGATTGAGGACACTGTAACTTTACAGTTTACAGATTGATCGATTCATCACTGTGAATTTATACCTTAACTAGGAACCTTAGCTGGATCTCTCATGATTCTGATTTATACCTCAATTGGATTTCTCATAATCCTAAATTATACCTCAATTGATTTCTTATAATTCTAATTGTGTTTTTAATAAGTAATTGCCTTAAAGTAAATCTTTAAGATGCAAGCTGATTTAGAATCTGTGTTTGATGAATGAGATTAACTGAGTGATAAATGATAAAATATCTTATTTTTGAAACATATATTTTGCTATAATATTTTGTATCCCATGTGTTTATTATTGTACCTTTTGACAAAAATGCCAAGCACTGAAGAGAGATGATTTTTATTATGATTGACTGTGTTCAATCATGGTGATTGAAGTGTTTTTCAATCTTGTTCTATTTTTAATGTAATGAATGTATCTGAGCCCACCCAACTCTGAGGACGCCTATTGATTTTAAGTATTGACTGAAATATTCTTAGACTAATGTTAATTGGTTATCAATAGATTGATAAAAAGAGTGAATCTGTAAGAGAATATTTTCATCTGATCTGTTTATAGAGTTTCTTATTGTTTTATAGAATCTGTGATACTGCAAACATCTGCTTGTAGTCACTCAAAGACCCCTCTGTAGGTTGAGGTCACAGGTCAAACGCTTCTCCTATGTCCGAGGGTTGACCTGGCAGCATCTCTTTGAGACAAGCAGATCATTGTCTTGCATCGGCTATTGATTATACACGGGCTTTCTGGAAGCCCGCCTCTCCTCGTGTTGGTTAGATGTTTTGTGTCTTTTGGTTCAGAGATCGCTGGTGAAACACGGGACGGTGTGCAACTAAGTGATCTCCCCGGCCGTTATTGTCTGTACTTTCTCCAATAAAACTCTTCAGTGCTTTTGGCTAACAACGGTTCCAGACTCCTTCATTCTACCTCAACATTGCAACAACAGAAGTTTACCTTCACATTTACTTCAATACAGTTCAAGATAATACCTGTTTACTTTAATACAGTTTAAAACAATATCTGTTGACTTTAAGACTGAGCTCAAACTCAGGCCTTAACGGCATGCTGTTCTACTGTATCACTTTCATTATGGTGTCCTCCTTTCCTTGCATACAAAAAGGGGGATATGGGTTAAAGACAAACACGAGTTTGAGTCCTTTCATTGATTCCTTTGTTCCTGACTTTAAAAAACACAAAGCTTTTGATTGTAGACTCAGTGATAGTGCACATAAAATATAGATTTATAATCGAGGTAACGATCCTGCACTGTAAATACAGCTTTTGAGTGGCTAAAATCCAAATTACAATGTCAATGTGTCACACCTTTCCTCAGCAGGGTCTTCGCAGCGTTATCACACACCACTGTAATTAATAACATTCGTTAGAGGTGTGTTATGTGCATGCTGTCTAACTGGATACCGACAGAACGGGAGCATAATTAATTGTATTAACACGTGTGCTTGCAATGACATGTGAACAAGTGTTGAGCTCTTTCTCTGCAACTTTATGGAGTCAGAGGAGTGAACGTGGAAAAAGACAAATAACTACAATTATAATAATTTTCATTAATATTCACATTTATTTCTTTATTATTATTTCTTTAAAAGTAATACATTTGATATAAATCTTTTATTTTTTAAAATATATAAATACAGAAGAAAATTCATTTAAAATGCTGAGAAGTCATTTTAGTTTTATATTTAAGGATTCATTACAGTTTTATTCTTTTTTATGGCACTCCATAATCTCTGAGTTAATTCAGAAGAAAAACATTCTGATCTAAATCAAGCACAGGTTTATAAGAGGGACATGTTGCTCCAACATTGAAATTGAGCTTCAGCACACAATCTAATTTAAAAAAAGTACTAAATAAAAACTTTAATCTTTGTTTATTAAAACGATTTTTTAGTTGTGTTAAAAACAACACAGTTCATCACAAGTATTTGCAAAAATCGCAATTTACTCTCAATTTTACTGAAACACTTTTTATTCAAATAGTTTTCATGACAACAGGCTTGCTAGATTTTGTATTTAAATGTAAATATAGATGATGAGGAGGGTTATTTTGCAGATGCATGTAATGCTGAGGAGATATTGTTGATTTTGAAGGCGATAACAAGGCAATACAGTTGATACATTTACCTACTGGAGATTGAAGAGTGGTTTTCATACCATTTGACTTGTAATCCAGGACCGCTCTGGGGCTTTTAATTGTTTCAAAGAATAAAAAGAATACACCTCTTGTCTCTCACCCCTCGTAGATAAAGTGCTGCAGACAAACATACTGATGCAAATTCAACGTCCATCTGAATGAACATCGCCTAACCTGAAGACAGAACTTTGTACAAACAGATCATCTGGTATATAGGATATTATCACTTATATCTTAAAAGAAAACATTCATATTTCCATAGGCACAAGGATCCATATGTGACGATAAAATAATCTCAGCTCCGTGACAACACATAATAAAATACAACAGAATATAAACAGATGCAATAAAAGACTTAGAATACCAGGAATCAGCACTTTAAGGGTCGGAAATTAAGCCTCAATGAAAGTCAAATGAAGGTAAAAGGTTACAATGCTGTCAGCAGAGATGATTAACAAAAACAATTTGCACCGACAGTGAAGGTCAAATGATCAAATCAAACGAAAACAAGGACCGATCTCCTTCCTTCAGGTTATTTCTATAAAGAAATAAGTAACATCCACCTATAGCTGTTACATCTTTCCTTGGTGATGCATCAATAGATAATAATCAAATAAATCGATACTGATAAACCAATCAGGCTTTTCCTAAATCAACATTTTCCAAACCCAATTTTGACCCATAGCTTGATTACTTATTTCAAAATGTGTTGCATTAGTTAATAATATGAAATTCAAATCCAAATTCTGCAGGATGAGCAAAGATGCTGCTTGAATCCCAATTTGAAGTTGGGTTATTCTTTTTATTACAACTTTGTAACACCACATGGCTATGAAGTGATAAAGTCAAACTAAACGTCAGTAAATATTGACTACGGTGGATTTTCTCTCAGTAGCTAGTCTCTGCAATTTGATTTTGGATTGATTACTCAAGCATGAAGGAAGGAAATCTACAGAATGATGGATCATTTGGGATAAGGTCAACAGTGACGTCAAGTTAACGGACAAGCAGCAGTATGGGTCAGAAATGTGAAATAGTAGGAATTTATTGTCATGCAAAGAGGCAAAATAATATAAAAATATGACACATTGTTAGTGATCTGGGTGAAGAAAAAGTATTTAAGATTAATTTCAGACCCTAAAAACAATCACAGCTGTGGATCCATGTTCCTCTGACAGAGCAGATGTCTGACCTGTATCTCTGTCTTTCACACCAAAAAGTGCATGTTTGACATTGTGTAGAGCAAAGCCATTATTTCCAATGGAGGGAGCAGCTGCACAAGCAATAGTAGTGGCACACACTACCTTTATACTCTGCCACGTTATCGGCCAGACATCTCTTCGTGACGTGTGGCAGATGTTACAGTATGATGGCGATCTCTTTCTTAGAGCTGAACAGAATGATGTGGGGTTTCTTTAGAAGTACAAACACTGCAGAGCATCCATGTCATGGTTTTAACAAAGATGCTCTCACTGTAAGAATCTCAAAAAGCAACAAAGTCAAACAAATCTCTCACTCTCATTCAGATCAAACAAAACCAGGTGTGATCCCAGCTTGACTTTCAGACAAACATCCTTGTATCAAGTCATTTCTGTCTGTACTTGAGTTGTATACATCTGGGCTTTCATTTCCCACTTGCTTCTGATGAAAATCATCTTTTATGTAAATATTTTTTTCTCACTTCAAATCCAGCGACCTCCCTTATCAACATGCATTTTTAGAAAAATCTAAAATAGAGAAGTTGAATATTTTTGCACTAAAAGGTTTTTTTCCCCCATTTATTTTAGGAAAATAAAAAATATTTAAAGACAGGAATTACATTTAGCTGTGCAGCCATACGGACTTCCTGCAGTGAGACAGTCTACTCGAATTTGGATATTTTGAGATGACTGCAAACGAGGAAAGGTTTGGACCAACTTTCTTGTGTTTGGACCAGATACAGAAGCAGTGCAGCGCCGCCGTATCAGAGCACTGATTTAGAGTTTCGACCCCATGAAACACACGTCATGATCAGCGGGATGAAGCATCCTTAGTGGTTCCAAAATGTTCAAATCCCACCACTTTTACAAGCAGAAAAGAAGCAGCAGCAAAGACCCAACTACACCCAGTTTACCAGCGTTTTTATCTGGAGCCCGGTGTCTCCTCATGAGAATGCAGTCAAAGTGGACAAACCTTCAGATGATTGTGCAGTTCCTGAAAGGACAGACTTCCCCTCTACTCTCTCCCACCACAAATTTTAAAATGTAAAAGCTGAAAAAGCACGAGTAGCGATAAAAACAAAAATGAACCACATGGACCACAGTGCAGAACCAGGGGGTCGGCGGCGTCGTGGTGACGGGGGTCTCCTGGTGGAGGACAGGAGGTGGAGGCGGGGGGGGGTCAGGTAATGGGTTTGCTGTGGTCGATGGTCTCGGACTTCTTCAGTTTTCCCTTACTGAAGTCCTGGATGGAGCTCAGCAAGGCGGTGCGACCTCCTCCCGCTCCATCAGAGGAGAGAGGAGGAGGACGAGAGGAGGGAGAGTCCAGTGCAGGAGGGGGAGGAGGAGGAGGAGGCGGGGGAGGAGCAGGCAGGGCTCCTGGATAAAGGAGAGAACGAAGGGAGAGAGCGTGAGAAAACAAAACGATTAGCTTCTGAAATTTAGTTTCCCCAGAGGCTGGTTACACAGAGATCAAATAAACTGGTTTAAACTGGTCTGGCTTTACTTTTCAGATTCCAAGACTAAATTAAGATAAACCAATGTGAAAGTGGCTTTAACCTGCATTCTCTATCATGTCCAGCAAGGGGTGACTCCAAAGGTTGCATAAAGAAGTCTGAATGTATACAAGTCTATGAAATAATGACCTGACTTCTTATTTGCTATTTTATCTCAGTTCATGGTTTGTGATAAAATAACGTTAGCATCTAATCTGTGGTTGGCTAAAGAAATGGTAGGCTTCAACATTACAGGCAGTGGTTTTCAACCAGCGTAAGGTGCTCCGTCTGATCGGTGATGAAAAAAATAGGTATTTTAAAACCTCAAAACCCTAACATTAGCTGATATCGGTTTACATTTGGGCAAACTTGCAACAAAAGTATTCTGAATTAGCCATTTCCAAATTATTTTTGCAATATACTCGTGATTTTACAGACAAGTATCACTGTATTACTCTGATTCTGATTCTCAGGCTAGCTCTGGAGATATCCTCAGAAAGTCACACGCGCGTTTCAGAGTTTGAAAACATCGGTTATATTTTATGGCTTCTAACCAATTTATGAAGCATTAGTCAAATGTGTATTGATCATTAAATAGAACCAATGAACCCTTTATAAAGACCAAATACAAAGTGGTAATTGTTATTTGAGTAACTTTGTGTAACCAGCGTCTGCAGATTCCAGGCTGAATTCAATCCACCATCAGTTTAAACCCAACCTTCAGTTCAGGTCATCCAACATGTTTTGACTCTACAAACAGATGCTGGTCAGTTGCACACAAATATTGTTCAAGAAAATCCCTGGCCCTGTGGTTCCTGAACTAATACTCTAAGTTATGTTCAAGTTCCCAGTGGACCACTATGGGACCCTAATATGTCCCAGTTCATTGGTAAACAGTTACACTTCATTAGCTCTCCAGCTCTGAAGCTACGACGTCTGAGTGTTTTGAACTTGGATTAACTTCTGGAACAAAGCTAAGTTATCTAGCTGGCTAGTGTCAGTGAGTACATTATACTACAACAAACAGAGACGTACTTGACTTGCAAAATGATCTTTGAATTGACAAACATATGTTTTCATGCCACAATTCAAACGCAATCTAAAAATGATTGTTCTTTGACGAGTTGCCATAACTACCGCACATATGTTCTTAAAAATAATATCCCATGAAGGAACGCCAGAAAGGGGAGGGATGCCTCTCTATGGAGACTAAATTAAATCATAGTTTTTGGAATATTCAGATCAAAGCTAAACTTGAATTCATCCAACAAGGCTCAACTTCACCTCACCGTCACGGCAACCGTCTGAGGCCTTCTTATTGGATGATTCTTTCATAAATGCCTTCTGGGAGTTGTTTTCTAAACTAGTTGTGGCTTTACATCCTTGTTGTCCTAAAGTAGGTACTGCCCCTGTGTTTTCAGTCTTTTTCTTGCTTTGATTAACACAGTGCACTGATGGTAAATTGAACATACATTTGGTACATCCTCCTACACGTGTGCCTTTTTATACAGAACCCAGGGATTACAGGGAAGAAAAAAGCAAATCAAAAAAGCGCTCCAGCATGTAGAGGTGAAGCAGAGCCTGAAGCTGCGTCTTAAGTCCACAGACCCCACCTTCCTGTTTGACTAAACAGTGAATTATCTGTGGCGTAATGAAAGGACATCTGTCAGTCAGACAGATGCTAACCACACCTGGAGAAACTCGCCACTGCAGGAGACAATAACATGCTGTAAGATCATATTTTTAGTGGAATATACGTTGTTTGGCTGTGGTGAAGAGCGAAAACATAACAAATAGGTCAAATATTGTAGACCCACTAATGCCTGCAGGGGCGGATTATCTCCAAGCTGACTTTCATTAAATATAGCAGCAACAGTGACCTTTAGTGTTGTTTTCCCCCACGTAATATTCAGACGATTCTTCAGTTACACTTGCAGTGAGACCTCTGTGATCAGATGTGTCAACATTTCATAATTCATCTGATTTAATATGAAATCTGGCCTCAGCTCTGAGTTCACATGCTGGCAGAGTTTCAATAGACTAATACAGGCGGTGTCCTCAGTACACGCCACCATGGAGGTTTGAAAATGTATTCAAACATTTTAAATTATCTGCATTATGTTTTAAATGTCTGCAAGTTAAGTAGTCCCGTATTTATCAAGCGTCTCTTCAAAGTCGTGCAACAATCTTTGTGTGAGGGTTTTTGTGTTTGGGCAAATTGACCAATACCCAAGAATGCATATGCAATATTATAATGTGAAAATAGATGCATAGCTTTGCCACAACCATTTACATAGTAAGCTGTAACACAGTCCCATACCCAAAATAAATACATACAGGAAGTTTGACTCTGAGCTGTGGGACATGTTTAGTGTATATCTTGCAGTATTTCACATACAGTGATAATGATGGAGAACATTAAATGTTATGTCCAATTCCTGTTAGAACTAAATACCTTGTCAACATAGAGTAAGTATAAATCAATAAAAAATACTTTGTATGACATTTGGCAATGTAAGAGTTACCAAAGTTTATTACTGCATGTTCTTTGTTATTACACTGCCCAATGTCGGTCACGCATATTAATACCAACGTATTAACCAAACTGAATCGTCTGAAAGCCTTCTTCTGGCGACTCCTGGGTTAGGAACTCTCTTAAATATCGGCAGACTTGGCAGTCTTGTTCTTTGCCTAAGAAGTTGCTAATATGCTTTTACTTGTAGTCCTAAAAGAAGGATTAAAGCGTGTCACTGAGATTTTGTTTCACTCTTCAGGATTGATTTCCTATAGTCAGAGGCTTGATAAATACGGGCTCAGATCTTCAAAATGTTCAAGATGGATGTTAAATATTCACATTGTAATTGATGTGCCTAAACATTGAAAAAAACTACCAGTGTAAAAAATATATACAATGCAAAATAGTCAAAGTATTATCTGAATATTAATCAACACAAATGAAAATCCTTATAAAAGATTCACTGAAGGGTCAACTGCAGAGCAGCTCCATACGACTGGGAGGCAACCTGCAGCATGGGCACAACAAATGAAAAAGCTAATAGCAGCACAAAGAAGTTATCGTAACTTAAATACATTTTTGACCAAAAACAAATGTTTCTGACCCGTATTCACCGTGACTCCCCGTCCCCAACAGACACACGAGCAAACAGAACAACAGAAACAGAGACAGACGGGCGGACATGCTGTAACTGACACATCACAATCTCCAATGAGAACTTCTGAACCAGTGGGTGACTGTGTGAGCTTTGGAGATCATTGCAGATTGTGAAGTTTTTATAAAGATGTGCGTACACCCTGTTCTAGACAAGCAATGCTTTATTAATGCTTTACTTCATCTCATCAGGTCCCTTTCTACTGGCTGATTCCTAGAAGGGGCCAGATTCAGCTCATTTCAGGATCATATTAGTGTTTAGAGTCTCTACTGTGACATGTCTCCATGCTCTAATGTTCAGAAAGCTCTATCTATTTCATACTGCCTGTGCTGCAGCACCTCTTTTCACCCTCTGTCTGAAACCAGAGCCCAGTACTTGAGCATAATCGTACATAAAGATTAGACTTATGTTATTAGTATTAATGTATTTGTAGAATTAGTGGTTGCTAACTTAGATTGTTTGACTCACGTAAACATTTCAATAACTTCACAGTGTTGTAAAGTCAGGAGATTGATAGATTTGTTATCAAACTAATCTGCTTCAGTATTCATTTTTTGACATTAAGCCTTCCAAAAACATTATTTTCACTGTGGTCCCAATCTAACTAAGCCCATTAAATCACATGGATTATTTAAATAACAATCAGATTCTTTAGAAACCAAAGCTTAAGATTATACGCAAACATAATGCTTTTATTTAAAAAATAATAAGAATTATATCAATTTAAATAATGATATCTGATTTATCAATATTAGTATCTGCCACAAAACCCAGTATCAGGTTTTAAAGGTCACATGTCATGGCCATTTCCACTGATCATAATTCCATTGTTGAGGTCTACTAGAATAGATTTACATTGTTCAATGTTCCAAACTCACATTGGTTTCTCATACAGCATCTCTGTAAAGTATGTGTATTCACTCTCCTAAACGCCTTGTTGGAGCTCCTGCTCCCCCCCCCCTCTCCCTGTGAGCCCAGTGTGCTCTGATTGGTCGGGACTTTACGAGGCTCGCTGCTCAGTGAGCTGGCTTACTGGTGTGGTTTCCTGGTCGGCGATACAGCGAGAACAAGCGAAACTCATCCTGAGCACACAAACACTCACAGCCGAAGTAGAAACAATAAGTGTGGCTTGATATTGAGTAAGAAAAAGGTTTATAACGCTGTGAGAATGGGTCTGGGTCTGCGGAGAGCATTTCTCCGCCATCCCAACTCGTCTATTACCAGCGTTCAGGGAGCTCTATGCAAGTCAATGGGAAATATTTTTGATAGTGACGCCAAGGGATCCTGGTGTGTGAGGAGCTCCGCGGATTGGTCCATTTTGGTTCCGGGAACCGCATGACGTCATGCGGTTCCCGGAAGAAACAAATGGAAAAATAAAAACAAGGAGTTCTGGGGCAGCATAGACAGGTCTTCTCTGTGTTAGAGTGTTACTCGCTACAGGGTGCACTTTGAGGGTTTGTGACTCTGCAGACCGTTTACATGCAGAAACACCTTCATAACACAAGGGGACGGGTAATAACCAGAAAAGCATGACATGGGACCTTTAAGAAGTTTTAACACTTCCCCAGACCAAACAAATCCTGGATTTCAGCTTTACTTTATAAGTCTCTGATCTCAACCTGCTGCTCACTGCATTAGATCCACACTCGTGATCCCACTCTGTCCGACTTTAAAATTAGATTGAAGTCTATTCTACTCTTGAGTTTCTTTAACTTGAGATCACAATTATGAGGCAGACCTCTGTGGGCTTGCTGGGAAGCCAGGGTGTACGACGGCTTTAAAAAACAAACACCAGTGACCTTCATCATCAGCAGCGACATTTTAAATCTTTACTTTACCCAACGACACGGTCAGAATGGAGCATGCTCTACGGTGGAGACAGCACGGGAAGAAGAGAGGGAGATGACAATTATCTGTTCAGTGAACCAATCAGCATTTACACAAAATCACCAGGACAACGAGGAGAGGAAATAAGGAAAGGAGACACTAACATCAGGGTAGGAGACTGATGACGTATTAATGTCATTGTTGTGGAAATGTAAATGTTGAGTCTGGTGATATTCTGTCGGCGTTGGTATGGGTGGAAGTATTTCAAAATCTAAGTGAATGTACTTTTATATCACAATATTGTAATGGTCTACAAATTACATTTCAAAGTGTTTTATAATACTATACTTCATCACATTTGATTATTTTTTGCATCACTTAAGGTTCAAACCAGTAAAACAAAAAATGAATGAATGTATGAGGTGTAAGGTACCTTAGAACAAAAATGTAGTTTCTTGTTTTAGGGTTAACAGTTTATATTAATGCTGGCGTAATATTTGAAAATCAAGCAGCATAACAATAAACATTGTTTGTATCATCTTTCCCTTCAAAAAGCTGACAGTGTCAAAATAAACTGCAGTGCAATAATCTTGTAATCGTGTAACAAGAGCTCTCCCTCATCTTGACTTTATAGTGTCACTCTTCTCCTCCATGTTTTCCTAATCGTGTTGCTTTGCACTGCGGCTGGATATGCAATATTGTAAAATCTTGCAAAAATCACAAGTCCCGTAATAATAGGTGCAATGATGGAAACCTCTACTGCTGGACGCATTTCTAACTTTGGTTTAACCTGGTCAGCTTGTGCACAGACTGGCAACTGTGAAAGATGCAGTCACAAACGTTACTGATGTGTACTTGACGGCTAAATGAAGGCCAATTTCAAAGATGGCCATAGGCTGCATCGTAGCTCTTTGGGCAATCTGAGCCACTTTCTGACATTGACCTTTACAAACAATGAATTTAAAAGTCATGCATTGTTATTGACAAACAATCATATGTCAATATTTTTCTTACATCCCTAATCACCAGACTCACACTTTAACGTATACATGTAAACATTAGTGTTTCCTACCCTGAGTGAGGCTAGTTAAAGACACAAAGTGTATAATACAACCTACTATAGAAGAAAAGAATACCTGTGATTATCATGAGAGAAGAGGTGAAGAGACAGACAGACAGACAGACAGACAGACAGACAGACAGACAGACAGACAGACAGACAGACAGACAGACAGACAGACAGACAGACAGACAGACAGACAGACAGACAGACAGACAGACAGACAGACAGACAGACACAACTTTAAGTCTTCATATTTACATATGCACATCTCTCATGAAAAGGAATGGGAGGAATTTCTGGGTTAATAGGAAAACGTTATTATTCTGAGTAACATGCTGACACATCACAGCAGGTCCTCACCACAAGGGGGCGCTGGAGTCTGTTTCATACTTAGACAGACAGAGAGACAGAGAGACAGAGAGAGAGACAGACAGACAGACAGACAGACAGACAGACAGGCAGGCCTACCTGTGGTGGGTGGGGGGGTGGGCGAGGAGGGGCATGTGGGAGGTGAACTGGCTCCAGAACCTAAAGAGAGAAAGAATTAAAAAAAACAAATTATTATATTTAGCAAAAATCTGAATAAAAAAAAAAGAAATTGCGTGCACAGATAAATGATATTAAGGTCACAGTGTGTCGACACTGAATGTAACTTTGTTTATAGAAAAACTACAAAGGATCCCTTCAATCTACAGATAAAGCTTTAACGTGACAGATCAAGAGACAGACAATGGATAACTATCCACATTTCAATCCATGACGAGGTTTGTGCAGACGGTAAACACCAATTATTACAAGGCTTAGGTCAATATTCTAATCTGATTGGTCAATTCAGACATTCAAGAGGTCTGTTATTTTTTTACAACAGGCGCTGCTAAGGAGAACAGAACGTGCTTAGGAGGATAAAGAGACTATGTGCAGTCATATCAATCCGCAGAAAGGAGTGCAGACAATTTAACGTCAGCTGTGGACAACAAACATTAGTTTCATCTGTCAGAAAACACTGTGGAATACTTTTGTTTATATTTGTGGAGAGCATGAAACTTTGGATTCTTAACTGTCCCCAGTCAAGAAAAGAAAAACAGTGCAAGGGAAGGAAAGAGAGTGCTGGACAGGGGCGGACTGGCCATCGGGACGAATCCCGGTGGGCCGGTACTGAAGTGGGCCGGTCGGACGATGTCGGCCGGCCGGTAACCGGCAGGGCTCGACATTAAATGGCCCGCTGGCCCGGAAGCACTATTTAGACACCCCGGGCCAGCATAACGTACTTTCCACTTGCCCGCTCGGGCCACTAAAAATATTGCTTTAAAAAAAATGGTCCTGTGGTATTGGTATTTTGACTAGCAATTTAGATCAATTGTTTCGTTTATCAACGCTACAACATAGCGTTCCGTGAGTCGGTTGTCGTTGTTGGGTGAAAAGCAAACAGCTGTTTGCTGCGGAGCGCAGCGCGAGCAGGCTCCTGTGAGCGGGAGCGTGCTCCTTCACTACAGACAATCGCGCCACCTAACCATTCGCCAAAATGTTTTTAATACCAGCGGTAACCGGCCAAGCGCCGGGCAAAAAACTATCTTCAAATAAAAGAAAGTCACCGGAGGAATTAAAGGAGAGTGACAGGGAGTATGAGAAGAAGAGGGAGAGAAAGTTTCAGCCAGCTTGATCGATGGAGTTGGCTGCAGTGACGCTTTTATAATCTATCGTTTAGATTTATGATTCGAAAATTATAAAAGTAGGGTAGACATGTGGAGATTATCCGGCTGAACAAAACGTGCATTTATCAAACAGGTTTGTTTTCCACAGACCTTATTTCCAGCTATTTTCCAAAACCCTGTGGAGAAATCCCATTGCTTTTTGTGGAGGGAACCAGCAGCTTACTTCCTGGTTTTAGGACGCGTCACTGGCTGCACCTCACAATATGATGCCAATATAAACAAGGTCTTCTGTCGGCTCTGTACATCAATGCCGACCTATGCTGACAAGTAAGTGAAGAGTAGACAATATAAAAAGGTATTGGCGAAATGTCCCAGCAGTTTAAGATAATGAAGGATCTAATCTAATACATAGCCATTACATTTCTAACTCCTAATGACAGGAAGGCAGAAAGTGCATTAGGCCTATACAAATAATAATACTCATAATAATAGCAGACATTTTTTAACAATGACCACAATATCATTATTTTAATAAAACAAATATGAACAATTGAGGAAAATTAGGAAGAACTGATTATTCAAATGTTGTAGTACAAGCATACTTGCCAACCTTGAGACCTCAGAAATCGGGAGCATTTCAAAAACAGGAAAGGAGTGAGCAGAGGGTAGAGTTGTCGCTTCTTGTTCTGTTTTCTGTGACTAAAGAGACGCGCTACCATGGAAACCAAACAATGGTGTAGCTGTATTAAAGTCCGAGTGGAAACAGTCCTGAGTAAATCTGATTGTGTCAGAAATCGGGAGAAATGCGGGAGAAATATGACCCCGGGAGGAAACCGGGAGAGGGCAATGAAATCGGAAGTCTCCCGCGAAAATCAGGAGGGTTGGCAAGTATGAGTACAAGTAGTAATGTAGTTAGTGCATAAATTACTATTAACAAATGTGTTCATTTTGTTCATTATTAGTCGATTTTTTTTGGACGAATGCTCCGGGCCAGTGGTTACAATGGTGGAGCCAGTGATAATACAAGTCCATTTTACCCTTAATGTCAACCTCTGCGGTAAGTCACTAGCACCCCCCCCCCTATTAATTTTTTAATTAATAAAAGCATTTTAAAATCAATATTTTGAATCAAGTTGTTGGCTTATTTAGTATGACGTCGTGCGAACATTTGTGTCCACTAAAGGACATCCAAGCACCTTAAAAACATAAAACATAAATTGAGTATTTGTTGAGTTCATTAACAGCAGTGATCTACCAGAGTTATTGTTGTTTCTGACAGAGACGTCTTCTTCATTTTCAAAAGCCGACTGTCGTGACTTCTGCAAATAAGAAAAAAAAAAACATTACATTTCACTTTGCATGAAACATCACTAACAAGCACCATTTCCACTTCCCCAAAGTACAACCACTAAACTCAAACATAAAATATAAATTTGTAATGTCTAAAGTTGAAACAGGTTCCTGTAGGTTTCTGAAAAAAGAAAACAACATATCCCATGGTTCTTAGCACCAGAGTCACTGTAAAGATTATTTGTAGCTGTTGTATTGTTTGTGTGGATGGTCAGATGGTATTCTGTTGTGCAGTTGGTGCTACATTTTGTTGCCTACCTTCCTCGCCAGAATCTTCCTCCTCTTCTTCTCCTCCTCTGAGCCGTGGTGAGACTTCGCTCGGGTCAGCCTTCTGTGTTGGTGGCACTTCAAATACAAATATGACAACATTATTGAGGGCCACATACAGAAAAGCATACAAAGGCCTGGGCCCCTCACTAGAGCTGAGGTGTATTAACTCATAAGTGAAGTTATGAGTTAGCAAAATCAATCAAACGTTGGTACATTATGCTTGATACTTAAATCTGCTTTGATGAATACAAACAGCCTACATCACAGCTCTCCGTAGGGTTTCACTTATTCATTATAATGAGTAGTGTACCTTACTGTCCCAAATGTGCACAATGTAGCGACTGCTTTTCGTCTTTTGTTTACCTAGTTGTGTTCTTTGTATTTTACATGTCTGTGTTATGTGTACAAATGTGTAACGTTGCTGCCTTCTTGGCCAGGTCAGCATTGCACATGAGATTTTATCTCAATGCTTTTATCTGGTTAAATAAAAAACATTTTTAAATTTAAAAGTGTAGGCAGCTAAGCTAAGATTTGTTCTCTTATTAAGTGGGCTAATTAACACATGAACACTACTGTGTAATATATGTTTAGAAATGTATTTAAGGAGTACAATATAAGAAAAGATTACTTTTTGAATTTGCTGAGGGCCAATTAGAAATAGACAACAGGCTGCATTTGGCCCTTGGGCCGTAGTTTGGACACCCGTGGTGAGGACAAACAATCGTTTAGGAAGGACTGGCCATATTTTGTTTTATAAAAGGAACATAAAGATGGTCACTATGTCAATATAGTACACATTATTTTTGGAATTAAATATTCTGAAGGAAACCTTGTATACTTGTATGCATGGACAAGTTCTGAGAAATGATATCAGTTTATTTTTAGGAGCAGGGGTAACAATCCTTATGTGTCCGAATGCAATTTGACTTTAGAAAATATGAAATGGCTGCATGAAGTCACTTTGTATTTTTTACATAGAAAATGTTCCACTAGCTATAACAGGAAGTTCGTCTTGAAATAATCCTCATTAGTGTCAGTAGAGTTTTTGTTTTTGCAACATGAAAAGGTTGTGGGAAATGATATTGCAATGTTTTTCCAAAGTCTTTAATGTCACATGAGCCCTCAGGCATCGTTCCCACCTCATCACCGATTTATTTAAAATATAGAGACATGAAGGACACGACCTCCAAAATGTCTCCAGTGAAGCTGCATAGCCGTATAAAGGGAGCAGAGGGGAAATAAATAAACAAATGAATGAGAGACGAACCACTCTCTGCTCCTCCTGCAGCCTCCTCTCCAGACTCTCCTTCGCCGTCTTCAGCGCCTCCTTTAGCCTGCTGGGAACCTGCAGGAGAGGAGGGGGGGGTCAGAGATCATCTTCATCTTTGTTGTTTTAATCACAGGAAATATTGATCTCTATTTTTTATTTATTTGCTTAGAACGAAAGGGAAAAAAAGGAAAAAAAACAAGATAAGGCGAGAAAACTATGCTTACATGATTTAGTAGAAGGTTAAAAAAGCAAAAAACGAACCAGAAGATAATAATAAATAAAATAAAACAAATAGATTAAAAAAGACAGAAAAAAGTTATATATATATATATATATAAATAAATATTAAAACACCAGGTTGCTTAAGCATTTCTTATCTGCAAACCTTGAAACCTGAGGGAGAGCTGGCCATGTTTTGTTTTATAAAGAAAGATGAAGTTGATGTTTAGTGATATCTGAATACATTTGGTTATGAAATAAATCCAATATCCTGAAGGAAACTTGTGTATGCATGGACGAACTCTCAGAGAGATCAAACTGAGACCCTCACCTTGATCTGGAGTTTGTCTGAGTGTTGGAGCTGGACGTCACTGAACAGCCTGCAAAACATAAAAACTGTGACTCAAAAGCAACCAAAAGGAAAATATGATACGGTTCCTTTTCATTTCATAGTACACATTCCAGATATGTGTTTGTCTTGAAGAGACCCTATCTGGCTTTTAGGGTTTTCCCTTTCCTGTAGTGTGTTATAAAGGTTTGTGTGCATGTAAATGGTCTGCAAAGGCTACATTCCCTGTGTTGGATCAAGATGTTGTCAGACTGTCATTTACACTGATACCAACTTGTTTCCCGAGCAGATCTGTAAACATGTAGTTGATTCATGTAAATAAAATAGGCTGACAGACTGTATGTGTGTTATTGCTCAACATGTGAGTAGACTGACAACATGTGGACTCACGGTGTCTGCATGAGCGCCGACACTGTTGGCATCCCGCTCTTACAGGCCTCTGCGGACAAAATGGACTGCAGCACTGACACTGAACACACACACACACACAGAAAAGAAACAAAGCACAATAGTTCAATGGGGCATTGGAGTAAACTATGGTTCAGGTTTAAATGTCAGGAGGTACACATTGACATGTGACAGCATCTGTGTGTGTGTGTGTGTGTGTGTGTGTGTTTAAATATACTCACCCACAGCAGTGTAGGGGACATCGAGGTATTGTTCGACGGGGACGCTGTCCGGCGGTCGGCCGTACGTCATCTCGTAGAGTAAATGTCCAAAGCAGAAGACGTCGATGCTCTCTGTGGTCTGCAGACGACACACACAAACACACTAAGTATGATGCTACATTACAGGATCACTTGGCCTATGTAGATTTGTACCATGTTGTTCATAGAAAAGCGGGCTCATTTATCAATATTTCTTTCCTCTCCATTTATCACCTTCAAATATATATATAATATTTTTTTTTTAAATCGTGTCCATTTTTCAGACAATAAAAGAATATACTGGCTAATAATCATCTAATTAAATGAACAATTACAAGCTAAATGAAGGAGAGATTTTGTATGTGTGTTACTTTGATGGGAATGGTTTTATGTTATGTAATCCGATAAGAAAAAAGCAGAGTAGGTTGTTTTTTTTTACTACACAAAAAAATGATGGAATACTCTTGCAAAAGCTATTACAGATGAAGTTAAAAACCTTTACTTAATTAATACCAACATGCTCTTTACTTATTCTCCAATTGTTTTTAGTTTTCATGGTCTCTGTTTTGAATCATCTACTGTCTTGTCATTGCCTAATATTATTGTTTGTTAAATGTATTGCATTTGAATTGTCTTTGCTCTTATTACTATTATTAATAAGGATAGGTTTCTAAAACAAAAATCCCCATGTATTAGAATTGGTCAATATTTAGGTACATTGATCTTCCTGAGCTGGATGAAGGCCGGTCGCAGCGCTGAGGGAACTCCCAGCATGCCGTTCTCCACATCCATCAGTCGACACACACCGTCATCCACAATTACGTTGGACGCGTGCAGGTGTCCGAAAAACAGGCCGCCATCGTGGAGGAGCTTCAGACCCTGACACACAAACACAGTTACTATTTAATAATGAAAAACCCTTTTGTGTGTGTGTGTGTGTGTGTGTGTGTGTGTGTGTGTGTGTGTGTGTGTGTGTGTGTGTGTGTGTGTGTGTGTGTGTGTGTGTGTGTGTGTGTGAGAGAGTGTACCTCGAGGATCTGACGGCCGTACAGTTTGATGTGCTGCAGTTCCAGACCCTGACTCTTCTTGGGGTTGCAGTACTTCTTCAGGTAGCTCTCTCTGGGCTTCGCCTGCACACAGAGGGTCAACAGTTCTCATTTTCCACCAGCCAACACAGCTGGGACTACTTTTTTGTACATTAGTTACAAGGTACTGTTCAGATTGTTGATAAAAAACATTAAAGCCTCTGGCTGCCCTATTTGAGGTAATAGGAAAGGAGATGCCTTTTAACTGCAGAACGGCGGCTATCTCTGTCTTTTGCTCTCCTCTTAGCTCGTCGAGCCATCCTGCTTAGATGGACAGACAGTTTCCCGCCCACTCATCTACAGTGGTTGACAGATGTTATGTCCTGTATGAAACTTGAAAAGATCAGATACTCACTTCTATACTCAAACAGCACATTTTGGTTTAGCTTAAGTGCAACATATGTATGTATATATGTGTATGTATGTATGTATGTATGTATATATGTGTATGTATACAGCAAATGTGTATGCGTACTGTAGGTTGCGTGTGTGTATATGCATTTGTTTGACATGCATATATACTCATCCAACAATATGTCTGGCATATATTCGTGTGTATAAGGATCACTGGCAGTGATAGGGGATTACTTTAGTCGTTGTTATTGTTTGTTTGTGTGTTTCTTGTTTTGTTTTGTATTTTGTACATACAATCAGCACAGACCAATCGCTCATTTGCATTGGCATATTATGTTTACCATTACTATATGACAAACACTGTTTATTGATTGTCGAAACTAAATAAAAAGATTTTTGATTTGAAAAAAAATAATAAAGCAACTCATAAATTGTGCAGGATTCAACATGATGGTATTTTTTTTACACAAGTCAGTAAGAGAGCTACTTGGCCAAATGTAATTATTACTTGACAAAAAGTTTTTATATATTTATTCATAGTGGTAATAAAATCAAAACAAAGACAGTTTTGCTGCCGCATCAGCAACTCTGAACAGAGATAAGGAAGTGAGATAGTTACCTCCATAGCTACTTACAACATTAGCTCTTCCATGTGAGGTGATTTACTTTAAAATGTCACTTGCCTCAGAACAGTGGGATAGCCTTTTTAATTAGCATTTCTTGTTATGGATAAAGTAACCAGGCAGTACTTTAAGTAGTGCAATTATCCCCACCTGCAACATATTGATGCAGCCACAAATTATAAACCACAAGTATGACACAAATTACTTTCAAGCGTTTCATTCTGCATAATGAGTACTTTTAAGTATCTACTTATGCTACTTTTTCTACACTGTGGAATTGCTACTATATTTAATTTATTTAAATGTTCATTAGTATAGAAACAGGTTTGTAGCATAATGCCACACATCACACATTTAGAGCCCACGCTAATTTGCAATTCCCATCACTACACTTCAGTAAAAGCTCTGAGTACTTCTTCAAACCCTGCAGGAGAAGAAATGTAGTTTGAACAAAAACTGTCAACATTGTGTTTGGTGTGTCGTCTAGTTTTACAGAGTTATTAAATTAGATCACTATTGTATTAGGTTAGAGGCCAAAACTAATATCCAGATATCTCCAAACCACATCTGTATATCTCTGAGCCGACAGTCAGATGCTTCACACACACACACCATGTATCAGAGATGTTCACAAGTCTTTTTTTGCAAGTCCAAGTCAAGTCTCAAGTCTTTGGTCACGAGTCCAAGTCAAGTCTCAAGTCTTTGTGGGGTGAGACTTGATCAAGTCTCAAGTCTTTGGTCACGAGTCCAAGTCAAGTCTCAAGTCTTTGTGGGGTGAGACTTGATCAAGTCTCAAGTCTTTGGTCACGAGTCCAAGTCAAGTCTCAAGTCTCTAAAAAATAAAAGTCTCATGTCTCTTCTGGTTGTAATAAGCCTTCTATTGTCTGCTGCTATCCAGTCTGTTAAGAATACTGCACAGCTATATCTAAGACATTCAAAGCATTTACTGTATTATTATCACTCCTATATCTATTAGCATACAGTATCAGTACTGATTAGTTGTTTGTTATATGATCACTTTAAACAGGCTATTGCAATGCAATATGAGGAAAAACATCACAGTTTAGCTAAATGCAAACAACTTATAAGCAAAACACTTCAGAATCAGAAATCAGTATCACAAATACTTTATTAATCCCCCGCAGGGAAACTGTGTTAAAAGTACTTAAAAGTAAACATTTGTTCTGTGCCATTTGCAACTAAAAAACTATTGCTGCAATATTATCTGAAATATACTGAACTGGTGATATTAAAACATGACCTGTTCCAAAAGAGATATCTACCATTAACACCATTTACCAGCCAAATGCTGGTAAATCATGCAAGTGGCTGGTACTGTATGTTGCACGCACCAGCCAAAAATAACAATGGCAATATATTGAGTGGCTGGTAACATTTCAACATTCACTAGGCTAGCCATTTGGCCAGTGGACAAAAATGTTAAAATTTGACCTCTGCAACCGTATTGTTTAATTACACTGTGTCTCTAATGACATCTTTTAAGTCTACTATAAATAAACATATTCCTCTATCCTCTCACTCAAACCCAGTGTAATGGTAACCTGATAAACCTGTAACATTAACGTTACGTGGTCAACAATAAACCTGGCTGTAACCTGCCTATAAACCGACAGATGTATTTATGTATGTAACTATGTATTTTTCTACGTTTAACGTTAGCCAGTAGATGGTGGCAGCGGAACGTAATGATTAACGTTAAGAGTTGGATGTCAACGCCACTCAACGCAAACAAGTGTGACAAGCAAACATTCACTCATCTTTTCAAATATTCAGTTACAAAGCTAGTAGCAAGCTAAGTTAACATTACATAGCTGATGCTGAGCTAAACATGTTTGCTAACCGTCCATATGCGTTAATGTGACTGACCTCTCCGGGTGAGTTTTCAAGTGCCTGATGAAATGTGACGTTGTTGCACCAGCATCCTTGATTTTAATATTGCACTTTGCAGTGTGCGCTCCTTTTGTTGGTGCCGCCGGCGTTTTGTTCGAAGTTTTTATAGTTGAACCTAATTACAAGCGGTACAGCTGCAGGTGTGCCGCCGGTCGCCATGGTGTTACCATGATGTTAATGTTAATGTTAAAGGTGGGGTAGGTAACTTTGAGAAACCGGCTCGAGATACACTTTTTGTTATATTCCATGGAATGCTCTTAACATCCCGATAGCCGGCCCGGCTAAAGTAACTGGATGGCCTACCTGCCTGTCAGCCTCTCATCGGGGCACAAACTGATCTCGTGCCCTCATTGGTCATGTGCGCGTTCGTGTGTGTTGGAGGAGGGGCTCTGTGAGGAAGTGGCAGATTTTCTCCGGTTGTGTATTTTCAAATTCTAGCGATCTCGAGCCGGTTTCTCAAACTTACCTACCCCACCTTTAATACGCCAAAAATAGAAAACACAATGATTGTTCACGAGTCCCAAAACACGAGTCCAAGTCGAGTCCGAAGTCTTTTGAGCAGGAGTCCAAGTCAAGTCTGAAGTCTCTGTGTGTGCGACTTAAGTGCGACTCGAGTCCGAGTCACAAACTCGAGTCCCCATCTCTGCCATGTATACATCACTTCAGGGGACATTACATTGACTTACATGCATTTCCTGGAGACTTATCCAAATCTTAACCAACACATGCCTAACCCTAACCCTTACCCATAACCTTACCCTAACCCTAATCCTAAACCTAACCAAGTCTTCACCCTAAAATTAATGATTCCCCTCATGGGGACCTCCAATTTGTCCCCATAAGGGAGGCGATTCCCCACACATGACTGTAAACAGATGTAGGTCCCCACAAGTATAGTAATGCTAGGACACACACACACACACCTTGCAGATGTGGTCTCTCAGGGAGCCTCTCTCACTGAACGGCCGGATGAGCAGAGCTGAGGACTCGCTGGTGCTGGAGAACAGCAGTGGACAGAGGTATGGGACCTGCAGCGGGGGAGAAGATTATTTATAGCAGCTATTTAAGTAGAAACAAATCATCACTGGATTTATTAAAATCTAAATAGTATCATTTTCTATTACTAGCTAGGACTGTCTTCAGTATTTAATCATTTTTAATATAATTTAAAGATAATCTTTGTCAAATTTGCAGGATGGTGATGCATGTTAATGACCTTGTAATGTAACAACATATTGGCTCATTTTTGTTGTTATTGCAAATTCAGAAACACATTTTACTCTTCTATCGCATATTAATGTTTGCTTATTATGCCAAAATATAAAGCACTTGAAAGAAAGTCAGATTATGGTCTTCAGTTCTGTGTGTTGTGAAGTTACTGTGTTTGATGTTCACGTACCGAGAGGCTGGTCAGCAGCTTCATGGCTGACTGCAGGTCTTTGTCAGAGAGGAACTTATCAGGACCCAGGTCCACCTACCACACACACACACACACACACACACACACACACACACACACACACACACACACACACACACACACACACACACACACACACACACACACACACACACACACACACACACACACACACACACACACACACACACACACACACACACACACACACACACACACACACACACACAACACACACACACACAACACACACACCACACACACACACACACACACACACACACACACACACACACACACACACACACACACACACACACACACACACACACACACACACACACACACACACACACACACACACACACACACACACACACACACACACACACACACACACACACACACACACACACACACACACACACACACACACACACACACACACACACACACACACACACACACACACACACACACACACACACACACACACACACACACACACACACACACACACACACACACACACACACACACACACACACACACCACACACACAACACACACACACACACACACACACACACACACACACACACAAGGTTATTAGTTATTCTGGATTTTTATGTTTTATTCCGATTTCCTTCTAAAAGCAAATGTAGTTTAAGCCATGTACTGTTTAATAAATCAGATTCAATCCTTAAGTGCATTAAAAGGCCCTGAAGGAATTCCTTTAAATCTGTTTCCTTTAAAACATTTTCAGTAAAAACTAAAACAGTCACTTCTAACCAGACTGTTTACAGACTGCATGATATCTGTTGCTTCTGACTGAAACTACACATCACTTAATAACATTTTATTGAGTTTAAATCAGCATAAATTCAATCTTCTGGACTGTGGGAAATCTTTGAGTATGTGATACATGGAAGTGAAAGAGGAACACTCTTCTTTCTCCCTCGAAAGAGAAAGACAAGTAAGAATATATATAGTAAAACTTTCCACGTGTTATTTGTTCTCTGAACTCACGGCTTCCTTAAACGCTTTTCTATTACACATGTCAGATTTTTGCAGACAGACGGACCACAACATGAAGAGATCACCAGACTGCAAGCAGTAGGAAGTTGGGATTTTACAATAGTTGGAGAAAAAGGCGGCATAATCTGGTTCAAAATACAATAAATATCATCCAAATAAACAAAACTTAAAATTTGATATAAAAAATAAATATTTCCAAAAATAAAAACTTTATATACACCCAGTGCATAAAGGCATGCATTACAAAATGATGGGGCATGTTATTACACGTGTTTGGAACTTCATAAACATTTAAAAAATAACTCGGATGATCTAAATTCATTTTGTAAAGACCCAGATAAAACCTCATGTTGCACTTATATTACATTTCTGGCTAGATATATGTAGTATGTATACAAATGTGGGTTTAATCAGTGAATTCGATCAATGAAGATTAAAGTCAAAAGGAGACCAAGGTGTCACATGATTTGATTCCTGTCACTCACCCAGCTCAGCAGATACCGCTCTTTGGGCTGCTCTTTGTTTTTGATTAAAAAGTATTTCTTCCTGATCCTCCATCCTGAAAAACAATCAGCATGTCACTCAACTCATCAAGTATGAAAACAACTCCTCCTCATCCAAGCATTACGGCACATCATCAAATAAATGCATTCTTCAAAATGTACTGGAAACTTTCTATGTGCTGTATTATACTTTTATTTGTATTTCAGGATCATTGTGAGGGCTCAATGAAACTCATCTGGAATGGAGAGTAAACAACAGTTCAAAATGTGATTTTAAATCAGTACAGAGAGTGAAACAGTCATTAGTAAATAAAATGGCTCTTCTCCTGTATGAAGTCTGTTTACTGTTAAAGGGTTAAAGGGGACAAAACTTGACATACATAATGCAGGCTTTTTTCTAAACCGGGTAACAGGGGTTATGCACCCTGTTACTTTCGGCTTGCCCCCTCATACCAAAATGCTGATTCTCGCCGTGAAAGTGATGCCAGAAAACAAAATGTTGGTTAGCCAAAAACTGTATAATTACTCTGAAAATATGAAAATCGTCAGACAGCATAGATAGCTTTGTTTTTACGGAGCTCCGATCTTGCGTTGTTGTTTACGTCCGCAGCGTAAACGGTGTTTCCCTCATCGACACAGTATTGAACCTCGTTACTATATCTTTCTAGAAAAACCCCTGCATAACGTATACATCAAGTAGACCTGAAACACTTCGGCAATTGTTGGTTAGTCCATCAAAAGAAAAGATAATAACTATTTTAATAATTCATCAAAAACTAGTTCCAGCTCCTAAATGTGAGGATCTGCTTCTTTTCCTGTTATCGTTCAAAGTAAACTACATATATTTAGCTTAGAACTGTTACACAAAAAAAGCAGTTTGATCATCTTGGGATTTAAAGTAAACTTAGTATTTCTGTATACATCTTTTCAATCAAGCCATTGTTCACTATTCTTTAAGTTCCTATACAATCAATTAAACATCATTATAATAGTAAAAAGAATCAAGTATCAGCCTTTTAACGCAAATATGAATACAATGATAACAAAGCAAGCATCAGCATGTGGAACCTGCGGTTAGCATTAGCACCACAACCGGTTTTAATGTTAAAAAGATGACATTAGTCCCATTCTTACCGTTGTCTTTGAGCGGCTCTAGAACCTCCCACTTTGGGTCCGACCTGAAGAACATGGAGACCTGCTGCAGGGCGATCTCTGACACACAGAGAGAGAACACTTACATTAGCTTTAGAAAATAGAAAGGTGTTTCCTGGTGATTGATAACAATGACTGGTCCGACTGTCTTTGCCTTGTTATTATGTCCCGAAAGCCAACATCTTTGAACAAATCATATTAAAATATAAACATTTTATTATTCATAATTTATTTATGAGTCTAGAAAAAGCTTTATTCACATATGGTCCCTTTAATCACTTCTGCTGGTTAAACCTGATCAATTACTACATTAATTAGTATTTTTAAATGTTAAATCTAATCTGAAAAGCAAGTCATTATATTAAACTTAATGAGGTAAATGTAGTTGGCTAATAAGTACAACATTACATGTGTAGAATAAAGCAACATTAATGTACCTAAACGTGTACTTAAGTAAAGTACTTGATATTACTGTCCACCTCTGAATAAGAAGATAAGAAACAAACCTGTGTAGTTGGCAGAATAGTTGTTTGGGTCCAGAAACCTCTTTACAGTCAAGGAGCAGGAAAGCATGGGATGCTGGGTAATGGAGTCCAGAAAGGCCTGCAGTCCTCTCTGCCTCTCTGCTATGAACTCCCTGTCCATGTTTCCCAATTAACTTCTTTGGAGGCAGAGGGAGACTGATGCCACAAACCTGCAGAGAAAGATGGAGAGGCGCGTTTTCTTATCAACATGAAACATCTTTTGTGTTATCCACTATAGACTGTTTGTGTACGTTGAAGCAGACGACATCAGGGTTCACTCAGTTCTGCTTGTTGACTGAGGATCAGGGTCAGTTTGAGACCCCGAAAGGAAATGAGCAGGAGAAACCTCAGCAGAAAAACTGCTGCTAACTTCCTTTTATCCAATAATCTTTTGACCTGAAGAGAAGACAAGTCACAACCGGGATAACCTGCCACACTACATACGTAGAGCCAACTGTTTGTCAGGCTTGTGGGTAATCTTTACACAACAGCAAAGTCTGAAACATGTTGTAACACACCGCCATGTAGCGTTTCCAAACAGGAAACATGTGTGTGTGTGTGTGTGTGTGTGTGTGTGTGTGTGTGTGTGTGTGTGTGTGTGTGTGTGTATTCCTTTCAATGATAATGAGATAAATTATGTAAAATATATCATTCCTTCCAATATCCTCAATCATATTGCAATTGCAATATCAGGTAAACTTTAAAGGGGAGATCTTATCCTCATTTTCTTTCAATGTTTACCCTCTGTCTGAAACCAGAGCCCAGTCTGTTCTTATTGGTTAGCTACCCGGCTCTGTTGTGATTGGTCAACGGCTTACAGATGGGGGGAGTGTAGGAGAGAAACTCCTTCTGGAGGGAACCCATGGATTTTAGCCTTTGCAGACTATTTAGATTTACAAAAACATATATAACACACCACAGGAAAGGGGAAGCCCCCAATAGCATAGCAGGGCCCCTCTTAAGATGTTAAACTCACCATCAGGTTGCTGTTAAGAACATCAAAGTCACTGTAGCGCCGAATAACCTGCAACACACACACACACACATCAGTCCATTCATCATTTGATGGTGTTATGATTAAACAAGGACAGTATTGAAGGTTCATTTTACTGCCAAACAAATTCCCTAATTGGCTTTTTACCAATGATTTTCAATGACTTCTCCATGACCTTTACCTAATTTTCCATGACCAAAAGAATGACTCTTTCTCAGCGGTACCACTGAAAAGGGTTTATTTTAACATGGAACAGGAAAATAAGGTCTGCATATGAAACATGTTGTGCCTATCTAAAACAAATCAAATAGGCTTACTAGCTTCTACACGCTGAAGCAACTCAAATCTCTCACCAGCAAAATACCTCATCAGCTAAATGTCATTTTACATTTCATTACTATAAGATACAGTATGTATTATTATTATAGTATTACTATTTCGCCGATTAGATAAAATATAAATTATATTTGGTGCAACTTTAGTTACATTTCCATGACTTTTCCAAAACTTTAGGAAAAATATTGTTTTCCATAACTTTTCCAGGGCCTGGAATTAGCATTTTGAATTTCCATGACTTTTCCAGATTTGTAATGACCGTAAGAACCCTGTTTTCAGAGTGATGATATTCACTCCCAGGTGATTGTAATTTACCTGCCAGCTGTTCTCTGCAGACACGCCCCTCTGGACCCTGACGATGTACTCCTGAGAGAAGAGAGAAAATATAGTACTTTATTGTAAGATAAAACAATTGAACTATCAGTAGAAATATACGTTTGTGAAACACTGGGCGAAGGATAGAGGTGAAAAATGTGAAATAAACCTTGACATTTCAAGCAGCTGTGTCTGTGTGTCTCTGACATTCAGCAAACATTTTAAAAGGTAATTCAAGAAAATAAAAGTGATATTTTAGTGAGAGGGAATATTTCATTTTAATATTAAAACAAGGATTTAATTTATGTGAAAAATATACACATTATTATTATCAAAGAAAGGAAGTTTTATGATGGAATTTAGGATCGTTTTAAGTGATAACATTACACATACACAGTTCAGTCAGTGTTTAAATAAGAATGACTTCATAAAGTAACTATATATAACTCGGTATAAAAAACTAAGTTGTAGTATTATTAACAAAAATTGTCATTAAGATATATACAATTCTAACGACGCAAAAAGATGAAGTTGAAATATGTAAGTAAGTCTTTATCATTAGATTAAGGTCATGATTTTATGATGAATCGACTCATAGTTTCAACAGGTCACAAGCACAGAAAATGCCACGTAGATCAAACAGGTTTTAGATCATGGGTGTGTTACTTTGTTTCATTTCCAAATAAACGCTTTACATAACATAGTGCAGGGGAGAATCTGAGGAGCTTCAGTATGAGAACAACAACCATGGTATTAGTCTGTTATTCTTCTTTAATCTGATCCTTTGTACAGTTCATTTCCTGCTCTGAGGTGACATGTGAGCAGCTTCACAAATCAGGCTTTGTAATGTGACTTTAAACAATCATGACAAAAACGGTTTTTCCAGCATGACAGTGTCTATTATAGGCCATCAAAACCATTTCTTTATCTTTTAATAGACTTTGGTTGAACGAGATTAGTCTCACTGAGATCAAGTAACTCTTTTATAAAGACAACCTGGCTCAAAGATAGCAGCAACCATGAGTTTCAACAACAAAAAATGCATTAAAATCAAAAATGATCAGGGAAAGCATTTCAGCCAGCATACTCAATGGATATCACCATTTCACTTTTCTGATGTCTTTCCAAGTCTTTCACATATCTTTTGTTAAATGCAGAAGATATGTGCCACTGCCTTTTACTCAATCAAATAATCCTCCATATCTTACCCTGCACTGCAACTTTGTATTCATTATGTTATTTGTGGCTTTTTTATGTATGTAAAATGGGACCCAAGTACACACCTTCCGGCGCAAACTGAAAACTCATCTCTTTCGACTCCACTTCGAGCGATAGAACTATTAACAAAGCACTTTATATACTAATAAAGGACTGGCTTATCTAAAGCCAGTTGAGTAGCACTTGAAATGTTTGGCTCTATGAAACCTGATGTACTTATATGATTCTGTTTTCTTCAAGGTTGTGTCTTCCTGGTCGAACGCACTTATTGTAAGTCGCTTTGGATAAAAGCGTCAGCTAAATGCAATGTAATGTAATGTTTTTACAGGTACCGGTATTTGAGACGTTGTTTCATAATGCTTTTCTGTTACACTTTATCTTAATGCTTTTATTGTGTTTGTATGTAAAGCACATTGAATTGCCTCATTGAAATGTGCTACATAAATAAACCAGCCTTGTCTTGCCGATATGAACTAAAATCCCTTATGCAAAGTACTTTGAATTGTTTTTTTTTTTTAATAGTGCAGTTATAATAAACCTGCCTTCTTGGTATCCTCATAACTCTCCACTCGTGAGTCTGTAAGGCTAACCTTTAATCTGCAATCATCTTGGGCGTGCGGAAGCCATTAAAAACAAAAATATTTAAAAAATAGGGATGCTGCAATACGCTGGAACATGATTCAGCATCTGACTTTATACAAAATATTGGGTGACATTTACAAAGCTCTTTGTGACAAATTACCTAATATCTTCTAGGTCTTTTTAACTATCAATCAAATTCAAAGTTAATTAGCTTCCAAAAATAGTTGGCCTTTGAAATTAATCATGTTAATACTGAGATGGGGAAACGCGCTTTAATACTATACCATACACAATTGAAACAATCTGCAAAAGCTTGTTAAATTAGACGAGCTAATCCCGTTAAACCAATTTGAATCCCGTTTGACTGACAGAGCAGTGTGAATGCATGTGTTTTCTTTCAGTTGATGTTCTTTATGTTAATGCACTTCGCCTGATTGTTGTATAATGTGTTGATGTTTACTGTAACAGTCATGTGCTTCTTTTGTTTTATATGTAGGGTAATCAGTGGCCTTTCCCCTGCCACAGGCATGCAGTCCCGCCGAGCTGCAGACTCACTGTAGTAATCCCCTCATGTCAATGATCCCAATGAGTTCCAGTTGGGGAAAATAAGTTCAGTAGTATCAGCAGATTCACCGAGTTGGAGTATTATCCTTTTAACAATAATATTATGCTTGTATTTGCAATCTAGAAAAAATGTAGTTGACCTAACGACAAGGTTATTATCCAGCACTCACTTAGCAATTTGTGTCAATACAAATGTCTGTGTGTGACTTTAAATGAGGGTTTCCCCAGCACAGTGTAACAGTAAGCAGGGGCCTGGCCTCACAGTGTTGCATTCATTTCAGCTGCTTATGTTGGGAAATTCAGAAGTCATCTGACAGATCCCGCCTTAAGGAAATCTGGATTCTGAATAACAGAAATGTGGCTGTTTTGGTTGATTTTCAATGAGGATTAATAGAAAAAACAATAAGTCTATAGCAACGAGGAGAAGGCAATGTTTTTGATACAAATAAAAACATGAATATAATGATTACGTCCAACATTATTAGTCTCTCCTATGCGTTTATGGTTTTCTTTTACTCTAACATTAACACCAACAATGATCAGATGCCTGATATTAGCACGCCTGGTTAACCGGCTAGCTCAGCTGATCCCTGTCGGACTGACAACAACAAACAACCGCACATGCGTCCGTTATCGGACAGACCACATGTCCTGCTTTAATATTAACAAGGCTAGTTCCATTGTTATTAACGTCTTTTTTGTATTGCACACACGAATTTAAAGTACACATTTCAGTTCAAAGTAATGCTGATCATTGGCTACTCCCAGCATGATGGAATTGTAATGTTGGTTGAAGATGCCACGCTCCTTTAGAGGAAACATACTTAATTGTTTGTTGTTTATAAAAGGTTATACAACCCACTCCATCTTGAATTCACCATAGATAACATACATCATTTGGCACTTGTAAATTATGAATGTTTTACATCTGTAAAAGGCGTGTGGTCTTGATACAATGTTCTGAGAATGATGTAAAAGGGATAAATCATGTAACACACGTATTTAAATGTTATGTTGCAACAGACCATTACACATTCGAACCGACCATAGTTTGCATTTCAGAGAGTGTTTGTGGGTCAGAACTAAGAGGAATTTATACAACGCAAAACTTTAACCGGTTTAATGTGCTTTAGATCAGCGGCTGTTCTCGGGCTTTCACTGGCACTGTCTCAGCTCCTGGTCCTTCATCCAGTCAGTCATTGTCAGTGCTCCACTCCAAAAGCCTGTATATCAGCAGTTTGCAGAGAGTTTCCAGGAAATGGCTTAATCAGTGACAGCGACACAGGGTCAGCTGCCTGTCTGTCCGATAATGGATCTATGTTACAACACTGATGCTTACAATTTGACTATACACGTATTGTTTGAGTTGATTGTTCTGTTTTAAAACTATTATGTATTTAGTTGTGAACGACGGTTGGTGGTTAGTGTAACGATGTACAGGAAAGGATACGAAATAAAGCTTTCACATCTGTGTCCGATAAAGGAACCGGTGACGCAGCGAGAGGCTCAAACGCCCACTTGTAAATCAACTTAGCTATATTTGTAAACTCACCAATAGCCAGACCTTAACATCTACCACTAATTAACCATTTAAATAAGCTGTTACCGTTAAACCTACATGTTGTTAACGGTTAGCTGCCGTTGTATTCCCGATAAACACTCACCGTGTGGGACTGCAGGTTCTGGCTGGCTTCGATCACCGCAGACAGCGGCACGGTGTCGTCCAGCAGCAGCCTGCCAGGGGCCGGCTTCTCCAGGTAAGACATTCCTGGAGGATAAACGGTGAAAGTCTGATGTAAACGTCCGTGTGTCACTGACTGAAAACGCCGGGAAGACACTGAGGAGGAGCCCCGCTGAGCCGAGCAGGAAACAGCCAGAGAGATGCAAACTAGCTGTTAGCTTAGCTTTACCGTAACCAAAAAACGCTGCTACGCAACCAACGTCGCGGAGCGTCAGTGCCTCCTGCTGGTCCGGAGGGAGAACTGCAAAGGGAAATGCCCATCATGAACTATTACACAATTATGAAGTTGACCCTAACCCCCATAGCTGAACAAAACACGGAGTTTGATTAAACGTTTTTTTCATTTGTATAAATGTCTTGCTTAATAAGCTTTCTATTGGGGGAACATAATCACCTATTTTCATTAGAATGTTGTACCAATTTGTGATCGTTATGCATCTATTTATGGTGTAAGTGTTTTTAATTTATATAAAGCAGTATTGAATATATACAACAAAAAAATGTGTAGGTCCTCAACGAGAAAAAACAAAGAAAATATCTGAGACACGATATAAATACTTTATTAGATGTTTTTCATGATTCTTGAAACGTTTTAATTCTGTGCTGTGCAGTATATTGTTTGTGTTTATTGTTTTCCCAGTCTTTTTTTAAAAAGGGGGTTGTAATTATTACTCAAGATAACTTTGTCATAAAAAAAGATTTTGTTTTTATTCCACACAGAATATCTCACACAAAATAAACAGCAGATTAAACATCAAAAAATGTAATGAAACGACTGAAGCCTCTTTCTTCTAGCTGCTCTATCCAAATGCACTTCCTGCTGTGCACATGATCAAAAAAAACATCAATTACAACACAAAAACAAAAGGGAGGGGATTCTGTCATGAAAAAATACTGCTGCAACCAAAATATTTCGGGAAGTCGGGCTGCACTGTTTGTGCTGCAATGGAGACTTTATTTATTCACTGCAAATAACATAATGTTCTTCCTCCTCTCACTCCTTCTTCTGCTGCTCCTCAGGCATCATAACCATCACCTCCCCCTCCATCACCACCTTGTCCTTCACAGAGCATGTCACGGCGATGAAGGCGAACGACATCTTGATCTTGCGAATCTCGGCCTCGGCCAGCACCTCCTCTCCGATGTAGAGCGGCGCGGGGAAGCGGATCTCCTGGTACAGGAAGATGCAGCCGCGGCCCGGCATCCTGGTCCCGAGCACGGCCGAGATCAAACCGTTGATGAGGACGCCGTGGACGATGGGCGCCTCGAAGGCGGTGGTGCTGGCGTAGACGGGGTCCAGGTGGACCGGGTTGTTGTCACCCGTCAGCTCGGCGAACAGCTGCACATCTCGGGCAGAGAACGCTTTGGTGAGGGAGGCTTTCTGGCCGACGTGGAGCAGACGACAGGAGGGAGGAGAGAGGCAGCGCCGCCGCCTCGGGTTAATAAAGAATCTGCTCCACAGGAAACTCATCCTCAGTCAGTCCAGCTGCAGCTCCCGACTGTTTCCTGTCAGCGCCAGCAAGAACGGAGACACCTGAAGTCAAAACAAAATAAATAAGGTTGAGAAATGAGCCCTAAAACACAAAAATAGTTCCTATTTTCCCACTTCAGGTTCCCTAAATAAAAATCTATTAATACCTGTAGGGAAATTCAGGTGTCAGAGCAGTAACAGCACGAATTTCCAAAATTGAGATCAATAAAGTATCTATCCATCCATCCATCCATCCATCCATCCATCCATCCATCCATCCATCCATCCATCCATCTATCTATCTATAAGCGTGATACACAGGAAAGGACAGGCAAGAGTTGAATCAAAGATAAATAAGAATAAAATATGAAAAGTAACAGTATACATAACATTTACAACAATAGAATTAAGTAAAACAAAGAGTAGGTTAAAGTTAACAGATAAAGATAATTGTGTTTTTGAATATATATAATTTTTTTACCCATTCCTAAGACAATTTAGCACAATACTACCACTTTCCAAATTGTACTGTATGCGATACAGTCATTTGTGATATACTTATTATATATTACCTTTTTTGTATTTTTTAACATTTGAATTTCTCCTACTGTGTTCATCTATGCAGCATTATACACCAAGCAAATTCCTTTCATTTGAAAACCTACTATGCAATGGCTCAAATCGAGATTATTGTCTTGAGAAGAAAGCAGTCTTGAATTTGCACAAATAAATCGACAATACGTGATCACACATTGTTTTGCTTGCAGTATAATATAAACATTGAGGTTCATCCCTGAGTGGATTTCAGTGAAGAAGAAGGTCTCTTTATATTGCATTGATGGTTCTGTATTTTTAGACATAAATCTAGGATACAAAAAATCAACATTCAAAATACACAAAGGTGTACAGTATAAAGGTGAATCCAAGGCTGCGTCCTCTTATTTTTTTCTTTGTCTGTTTTGCCCTTATTACAGAGGGACTGGTAAGGTTTGCGGATCAGATTTTAACCCTTATCCACTGCCATAAGGAGCCTCAGTACTATTAGCTCTCTACTAGAGCTTACTGTGCAGCCCAAGATGTATCATTTTAACTTCGACTCAGATATCTAACTGCCTCTAAGCAGCTAATGCACAACATAAAGGTCCTTTTTGCACACTGATCTGGAGTGGATGTGCTGACCTGCAGCACTCTGAAGGCGCAGGCTTGTTTCTGGTACGAGCCCAGCAGAGTCAGGGAGCTCCACAGCTTCACCAAGCCTCTGAAAACACACACACAAACACACGTAAATATAGATATAAAAAAACATCTTGTGTAGGAGTGAAAATGTGTTTTCCATTGTGCTGCTGCTGAACTCACTTGCTGTAAACACGCAGAAAGGCAGTGAGCGTGTCTTCATCATACTTCAACAGGTCAAAGTTCAACGCTGCTCCCACCTGGAACACATACACAAAAGCTAAATAGGTATAGTTACTCTAATACTGCACTTCAGTACAGTTTTGAGGTACTTAACTTTACTTTATACTACATTTTGGAAGCCAATATTGCACTGTTTATTATATTTATTTATATACTACATTATTAGTTACTACTTACATTTATTGCCCTGGTTATATGTTAATTAAAAAATTAAAAAATAATTTTTAGCTCCACCTTTATCAGCTACAACATGAAAATCATACAAATGTGTATATCACTAACTATAAATTAAGTAATATATATTAATTATGACTCTGAAATGGGGCATTCTGTATAATGAGTATTCTTGTTGGTACTATAAATATATTTTTGTAATATGACTTGAGTAAAAAAGTTAATACAGGCCCTCTACTTAAAACTGAGTATTGTATTTATTCTACATCTGTATAAATTATATTATATAACTTCAGAGGTATTTTTCATTAAGACAAACCTCCCAAACTTTTTTTGATAAATGATTATTTTAAAATGTAAATAGTGAAAACACCCATTATAATTTCCTGAGGTTAACTGGTAGTCATCAACAAATAACCAAATTAAAGAAAGTACAAGTACATTTAAACTTGAACCAGCATTTAATGGATTATCAGAGCAGATCCCGCTGTGGGAATTGAACCGTCGACCCAGTGTTGGTGAGCTCACCTCTCCATACAGACTGTCCAGCCCTGAGATGATGAACTGCTTCAGATCGACCGCATTCAGTCGGGTAGACTCATCCTCCAGAACGCTACACACAGAAACATCATGTGGATCAGGGTACAGATTTAATGGGTAAAGATGCAACTATATTATCATGTTGTAGACACCACAATATTAGACACCGTTTTATCCAAAGCAACTAACAATAAGTGCAACTAGAGAATGCAATTCCTGAAGAAATTGCTAGTGGGAATGCTTTATGCTGAAAAGCTGACGCTAAACTGCTATGCTGAAATGTAATCATGTGTAAGAAGAAAGTGAAGAATTTAGATTGAAATGATACATGAACACTGGGGGCTTGAATGTGTGATAAGAGAAGAAAAGAAAGTAAAAAGGCTTGGAAACTGGAAACTTTTGAACTAACTTGATGGCGAATGATCTGTCGCCATGCCAACTGCATTTGATGACACTCCATAATACGCTTAGATGCGTTGATGGCTGCATTTCCATGGAAACAGCATATGATGACACCCTATAATTGACGTAGAGCTGTTGAGGGCTGTACCATTAACCATTATCTGAAGTCTGGTGCTATTTTGAGCCTTTTCATAGGCGTTACGACAACATTGTGTTTTATGGCGATGGATGTGTTTCCATGGAAACGGCATATGGTGAGATGTCAGATTTGACGTAGAGCTGTTGAGGCATGGAGAGGTGATATACAGGTGAAGATTGTGGGACGACCGGACCGTGTCCATTGGAGCTACATCGTGTTTTATGGCGAGGGAGTTTCCATGGAAACGGCATATAATGACAACCCATAATTGACGTAGAGCTGTTGAGGGCAGGACCGTTAACCATTATCTGAAGTCTGCTGCTGTTTTATGGCGAGGGATGCGTTGCCATAGTAACACCAGATTACGTAACATCAGATTTGATGTAGAGCTGTGTTAACCATTATCTGAAGTCTGCTGCTCTGAGCATGTCTGTTGGAGTTATGACATCATCGTATTCCATGACACAGGTGTTTATATTTGAGCTAATGACTGTGTCCAGAGATCAAAGGTTTCCATAGTGATGTGCAGTAATCAGTGAGAGGAGAGCATTTGCATTGTTCTGAATGAGAGATAAACCTCTTACATGTGAACGTTTTGTTGAAGGACCGTAACAGATATTGGTGAAATTTCAACGGGTGAAGCATCTCAAGGACCTTGAGCATCTGAAGTGTGCTTTTTGTGTACTTTCAGGTTAATAATGTGGCCTTTTTGGCAGATTAACTAAAGGTGTGCGGCTGCTGCTGTGTAACATTTTAAAGTTGGAATGAGGTTTCTGAGTGAAAGTATGAAGGAGCAGTTAGCAGTTGAAGTTGTATTGATTGTTCAAGTCTGAAGAGTTTCTCCATTGACTTCCATGTTAAACATTTGATGAATTATGGGATGTATCTCTGGAATTGTGAAAGTTATGAATAAGAAAAGTAATAGCCATCGATTCCCGACCGAGCTGAACGTTTTGATGTTTGAACGGAGTTTCTGCGATGTGGAATGTGGGAGAAGAAGCGCAAAATAACCCGGCAGAATAATAAAGAATTTTGTGCTGTATCAGCATTCCCACTTAATTAACCATAAAAATAAAAGTAGTAAATTGTGGTATATTGTTTTTATAATTTATAAAAATACATGTTTTATACCTTATATTGCACTTCATCTTATTTTAATATATGTATTCTTTATTTACTCTTTATTAACAGATTCTTTATTTTTATAAAATCTCTCGCAGTGTGGTGAGGTTGATCCTACCTTGCAATGTTTCTTTTGTAAATTAGTGACTGTCATTTCAGAATTTTCTTTTATCTGTACATTTGAAATATTTCCTTAATTTACAACTTTGATCTCAAATAATATTTGAGTTTATTTGATTATTTCTCATAAATGTTATCTTGTAAATTGTACCCCCTTTCCCCCAGCTTCCAATTGTAAACTTTTTGTTTTACCTGAGCCTAATGCAGTAAATGCACCCTCAAACAAAAATAAATATGATCATTTTTAAAGAGTTAATGAAGAGCCAATTAATAAAACAATAAATCGGTATTTATAAACAGTATCAAAAAGACTTACAGGCAGACCTTCATGTAGTGGTACGGCGAGGCGTTCTTCAACACGACCCGTTGGTAGAGCGCAGGTTTGCCCTTTGTGTCGGCGCAGCTCATTATATTAAAGCATCAGGGAACATCAGGGAACTCCAACAGATAGTAATCAGCTCAGACTATAAAAGCAAATCATTCAAGATTAAAAAGTCATCAACTAAACTCAACATGATTTATTTTAAAGAAATGTATGCATTTCACTTTGTAGACTGTGACTTCTGGAAAAGCTCACTAGGGAACCATGTGTGGTTAAATCCACAGCTGGAAATAGTCCCCAACTAAAGCTATACGTCCTGGTGTGAAAAAGGTTTGATTCAACTACAGTGACATGCTGTTCTTAAGAAATTCAACTATATTTGCAAAAAGTTTGCCAGTAACACACCAGATTGAAGTTTGTGATAACTGGTATAGGATCAATACTGGCTGGTACCTTAAGTTTGGTATTTAAATAAAATAAAATGTATTATTTAGGTGAAAAGGGTAAAACAGTGCATCCCTATTACTAAACTCATTACTCGTATTTTGTCTCCTCTCTTTTTTAAACAGACTTTACTGTTTTGCTCCATCTTACACTCTACCTCAATGTAGAGTACTAGTTTGATATTATAGTGCATTCCAACTTATTTCTTTATATTTATATATAGTTTATCAGATATTCCATATATTTATTGTGTAGTTTTTACTCCAGTGTAATGCATGCTGTAACACAATCATTTCCCTATTTAGGATCAATTAAAGGTCAAATGCAAAGCTTCCAAATATGCTACATTTTTATAGAAATTTTGTTTTTAAGACTGCCTGTATTTTTTATTTTATTTAAATCGAGATAATACACCCGAAAAAAAGCTTTTTATTGATACAAAACTCGACCCAAAGCCGTCTGAATTTCTGACATGTCATTCCCAGCAGCCTCCGCGCGCGTGACGTCATTGTGGCCAAACAGTCTCTGGGCCAAATATCCCGACTCGGCAGTCTCGTGTGCTGTTCACATGTCAGCGGTGTTTTTCGCTCATGACTGGTGCAGAAAACTCTGAATTATATCCGCGAAATCACGCAAAACATGGGTTATTGTTGTGCTTTCGGATGTACGAACGGTGCGGGATCTGGGAGAATTTTTCATTCATTTCCCCAAGACGAAATCATCCGCCGAAACTGGATTATTTTAGTGAATCGTGTTGGCTGGCAGCCGACAAAATGGAGCAAGTTGTGCTCTGACCACTTCGCGTCTGATGCATACGATGTTGATCCTGCCATCGTCAAGTCTGTTGGTGGAGAAGCATTTAAAGTACATCGGAGGCTGAAACCCGGAGCCGTCCCCTCCATATTTGAGCACAAAAAACAACCGAAAGAACGAAAGAGCCGGGCAATGCAGAAACGCCAAAGAATTGAGGTAAACTAATTTTGATTTGATTTCAAAGCGCACGGAGCACAGAGCGGACAGCAGATAACGGAATTGCAGTTTTATTGCTTATAGATTATCAGAACATTTCAAAGGGGACACAGCCCCATTGGATATTAACCTATGGATTAACTACATCATCGTTTTTATCGTTTTAATGCCATTTTAGACCAGACAAAGAGGAAGGTAAGCCTAGCTCATGTTAGTACCTAGCGCCACTTGTTTTGATGTACGTTTTTGTTGATAACCTCGCGAGTTTGTATCTTTCAGTGTTGAGGTGGGCACCGTTAGATTCTGTGTCTTTACGATCATAAACAATGTGTTGGATGTGGAGCTAGGATAAGTAATAAGGGAGCTAGGAGTGATTTTCGGTGCAGTAATAGGTTAGCATTTTTCGCTCGGGGCTAATTCAGAGGCTCACTGTTAGCATTGTGTTTTTTTTTTTTAAATAAATGAAAAAGATCAGTTAAATTAGTTTTTTCCCGTTATATGGATATAAAATATTCATAGTTTATTAAATATTAAGGTTCCTTAGACGTCGTTTCCTGTAAATGACGCGATTTCGGGTCCGTGGGGCTAAGAGGATAACAGAGTATGTTTTATTTTATTTTCACAACAGTTGTATTTGGATGGAATGAATACCTATAGTGATAATTCAAAGTAATAAAATGATTTTTACAGTGAAAAAGTTCAAATGGAACTGATGGTTCCCAAATTACCCAGAGGTCGCCTGGACTTTATTTTTCTAAACCTCTCTAATAAGGTCAAATGTCACTTGTTTTGCATCAATCTTGATACAGGGTACTTATATGTTATAGTTTGGATTCCTAAAGCTTTTAGTCTATAGTCTACTCAGAATCAGACATGATAACGAAACTAAGTTGTACTATCGGCGGAAGCAGCTGTGAGCGATAAGCCAGGTGGAAATATGTTTGGCCACTCTGACGTCACGCGACGCCATCTTGCGGAGACGAGCGGCTGATTTCGGACTTGGTGTTGGGGTTGAACAAAATAAATATTGCGCATTGCCAGACGCATATTATCTCCGATTTTAATACTGCAATATCTTAGATAGTGTTGTAGCTATATGATTTCAATTTTACTGGCAATTATAAAAAAAATCTTTGCATTTGATCTTTAAAGGTAGGGTAGGTCATTTTGGAAAAACCAGCTCGAGTGCGCTAGAATTTGAAAATACACAACCGGAAAAAATCTGCCACTTCCTTACAGAGCCCCTCCTCCAACACACACGAACATGCACATGACCAATGAGGGCACGAGATAAGTTTGTGCACAGAAGGAAGGCTGACAGGCAGGTAGGCCATCCAGTTACTTTTAGCCGGGCCGGCTCAGATGATTGGTCGTGCTTTTTACAGTACTACGGATTCCACAGATGAATTTTTTTTATGGATTTTTTGTCAAAGCACTTCAGATATTCATTGCTATCGGGATGTTCAGAGCATTCCATGGAATATAACAAAAAGTGTATCTGAAATAAATTACAAACCCCACCTACATATATCTCTGTTTTCATATGTTAGGTTATGAAGGTCAGGAGACTGAAAGAGATTTATAAAAGCCCCGGTTTTAGTTGTAATGCAACAAAGGGGCACAATATATTGTTTCAAAAAACGTTTAGAATGGTGTTCCTGCACTCTTATAGCAAACATGTTTTTTCACACAAGCAAATAATAAACTTAGCTAACAACATAGCCAGCTAACCGCTAAGCCACAATTCAAACTTGCTGTTACATTAAACGTAACATCTGACATAATAAATAACCCTTGCATTTAAAGTCTGACAGACAACCTTTTCGTCACGAAAATGTCAGGAACATGAATGCAATTATAGACATTTAAACAATATGTATAAAGAACAACAACCTGAATCTAGAACTAGCTTACAGGAGGTCAAACAGTAGCTAAACTAGGTGAACTGGCTTTTAAGTCTTCTCTAGTTTCTAGCTGCTACACTGACAGCTGAAAACACCTAAGAGTAAAGTAAATGCAGTTTCTGGTTTGATAAATGTTTATTAAGAATTCAGTTGTTAAGCATTTAACTCACCGACTACATCCACATTGAGAGTTCAGCGTGTTGTGAAGTGTAGCATGCCCCTGGAGTCAGCGCATGCGCAGTCATCACAGACGGATATCTCAAAGAGTACACAATAGTAAGATGGTTCACTCCGTCCAAAATCCAGGAATCGCAAAATATAAAGTAAAGGTGGTAAATGTCAGGTATACTAAAAAAGTGCTGATAGTTTAAGAAATAGTACAATGGCTATTATTTCATTTTTTTACATTTGCGATCCATTTATGATATTGTGAAAGAAAATTGGATAGTAGAGATGACTATCTAGAAATAAATCTAATAAAAACCAACAAACATTCCGGCATGGTGTTAAATACATGAAAAACCATGCTTACATGAGAAATACAAATATGATGTTTCAATCTCAGAAAGTGCAGAATTTCAATAATCTAACAATAGGCATAAATTGAGTCAACAATAATAACTTTAATTTGACTTGTGTAATTCTTCTCAGCAAATATAATAATGTACACACCAAAGGGACTTCTGCTCTGGAGTGGTATCTTGAATAAATTATCTACTCTTTGACAGAAATGGTAACGCTGTAAAGATGTGTTGCCCCCCAGCGGTCAGTTTATGAGTTACATGCAAAAACAAAAAAGTATTTGGAATATTAAAATGTTACAGATATAAACTCTGTCATAGCAAAACTCTTATACCAAACAAAAAAAGAGCATCAAACCAAATTCACAGCCTTCATCGTCCATTCTGAGGTCATAGGGTTATAAAGCTTGCTTCAGGAAAGTTTCTTAGCGTTTCCACCGTTGACTTCCTTCTTAGACAGGAAGTCCATGATGAGATTGGCAGATTTCCTGGGCCGCTCCAACGACACAGAGTGACCACAGTTTTCTATCAACTCCACCTGACAGTTTGGCAGCGCCGCCTGCAGCACCGACGCCCCCGACACATCCACCACCTGGAGGAGAAGCAGGCCCATCAGCAGCTCCTCATGGTTGGTTGAGCCATTTAGAGACTTTAGTCAAATTAAATCTAATAGAAGCAACTGTCACGAAACACCATTTTCCCAGGGATAAATAAATAAAATAACTAATTACCAAATATCTTAATGAAAACAAATGAATTAATAAATAAAGTATTTTGATTCTAAAATGTCTGATCATTTATAACTGGAAATCTGCTTTTTGTAATTACATTTTTTATAATCATGTTTTCATAATGGAACTGCGGATACACGGGCTTTATATATAGACAAGGGAGTGGTTTTGTTTGCTTGCATGCCGGAGAAAAAACTCATTTCCGATCACATCACTAGACATTAGATCACAAATTCAGTTGACGTTGTATTTGGATTATGATTTACATTTCTGGAAAGTCAAGTTGATGTTTACATTTGTTTTGTTTTGTTTAACTAAACATCTCAGCACATGCTTTTTGGAAATGTGTGCCGGACACCCCTCACCTGACCTCAAGTCAGCTGTTTGTTGCATTGTTGGACGAGCCTAGGACTTAACATTTTCATTGCCATCTACTACTGTGTAGCTATTTTTGCATATGGAAAGAAGCAGTGGCTACTGGCTAGTGCTCTGCAAAGTACCAGATTCTCTGTCCTTGGTCCGTTCTGGGACTTGAACCAGAGACCCACTGGCTCCTGCGCCAAGTCCCTGAGCTATCGCCACCCAGAGTGATATATTCTATATAACTTAAATATATATATTCTATTAGAGCGCTTTAGATCAAAGAAACATAGACCGTTTAAAGGAAACCACATAAGAGATCAAATATGTAGGGCCAAGAGTTGAAAATAAAATCCTATAAAACAGGATGCAGAGGAGAGGCAGTGAGGAGCGTTTTAAGATCAGTCGGTGAGTCCGAGGCTCCAAATGATTTATGTGTACCTGATCCTCCTTCCCCCAGATCACCTGCACCGGGGATGTGATCAGGTGCAGGTTTTCCTGCAGCGAGTGGCGAGACTTCTCCCCGACGATCTCCATGAACACTGAACCACACACACACACACACACACACACACACACACACACACACACACACACACACACACACACACACACACACACACACACACACACACACACACACACACACACACACACACACACACACACACACACACACACACACACACACACACACACACACACACACACACACACACACACACACACACACACACACACACACACACACACACACACACACACACACACACACACACACACACACACACACACACACACACACACACACACACACACACACACACACACACACACACACACACACACACACACACACACACACACAATCATTAAAAAGGAGCAAATTACAAAAACACATAAAATAACAATAATTAAAGACTTAGGACATCAAATAATCCTGGGTGATTAAATTAAAAGAATGTTGTCAATAAAACTCCAAACTTGGTATTCTTTATTTGGATCCCCATGGAGATGGGAAGGATTATTTTCTAGAGCTGCTTTGAATGTGAAACAACCTTTGCAGGAAGTGTTACGGTTCATTTGACCAGCAATAAATGGGAAGAAGCACGGTATTCAGAATTTGCAAATCAGAAACAAATGTGTGTCGTTTTAATGCAAAAAGAAGGGAATTAAACTTTTCCTAAGTTGGAATATGACTCTTTTTAAGACTCTTTTCAAACGTGCACTGCTTAGTGGAGGAGGAGAGAAGGAGTTCAGAGAGGAGCAGACTGACCTTCTTTGTAGAAATCATTGTTGGGCACCCTGTTGTCAAGGAGACCTCGCAGGAGCTGTTAAAACACACACACACAATTAAATAGAGACACAAACACGCATCAATGGGTACACCGTGCACTGTGCTAATGGTTCCTTTACGCCAGATATGAAAAAGCATGTTTGCAACAAAGAAATGAAAAGTCTGTCGCAAAGCTGAAGACAGAGACTCCTCTACTTAACAGCCCTTTAGTGTTTAAAGGGGCCCTATTATGCTTTGGGGGGTTCTCCCTTCCCTGCAGTGTTCTACAGGTTTGTGTGCATGTAAATGGTCTGCAAAGGCTACAATCCCTGTGTTCCCTCCAGAGGGAGTCTCTCTCACACACACTCCCCCCCCCTGCATGAAACACCTCCATTGGACTGCTTTGTTTACTTCTGTAACATAATGAGGACTGGCTAGCATTCCAACACATTTTCCGAAATAAACTAAGGGGCGGGACATCTCTAAGACGTAGAGCAGACTGGGCTCTGGTTTCAGACAGAGGGTGAAAAGAGGTGCTGCAGCACAGGCAGTATGTGTGCTGTAAACTCATGGTTTGTGCTGGTTGTATGAGGGTCCAATTCATGGGGTTCAGTTTATGTGAGTGTGACTTTAAATCTGGGTGGAGATTCGCGGGGTGTATTGATATGTTATAAATAGAGGGGATAAATAAATGAACGTCATTGAGATTGAGGAAACAGGAGGTTAGGTTTTCATAACATTCTTGATAAAGAAGACAAGTTGCCAGAATCATCAACTTTTGTTGCCACAGTTTACTTATAAAACACACACACTTTCAAATCCAATCTTCTTTTTCTGTCTTGGTAGACACTTTATACTGCAGCAGCAATAGTAATAGTTGTAGAGTAGACCAATAGTAGCTGCAGAGATCTATAGAAACTGTTGTTGTGCACATCTGGACTGAGGACCTAGGGCTGTCTCTGTACCTGCTTGGGGAGGCTGATGGGGGTGTAGCAGCAGAGCTTCAACATGGACTCCAGCTCCTGAGTAGTAGTGGGGATCAGAGGGATGGACCCCTGCTGCTGAGTCTTCTCCATCTCCCTCAGGCGAACGATGAACTCAGACTCTGTGGGAAAAACCAGACCTGCAGGACAGAGAGGAGGAGAGCTTCTGTCACTCACATACACCGATCAGTATGGGGTTTGAATCCTGGAGAAATCACACAGATCAGATGTGTGCTGAGTTTACCTGCCGGACACATCAGGGTGACGCCGGACAGGTGAGCAGGGTGATGGGCAGCGTACACTCCAGCGACGTTCCCCCCCATCGACGTCCCCACCAGGTGGAAGGGTCTTTTGTCCAAACCAATACTCTTCACAAACTGCACAGGGAGAGACACAAAGACAGAGGGGATCACTGTCTGCTCAGTGCAGCCTCTACAGCTGGATACAGAGAGTGGGCACAGGTGTGAAGTGGATGAAAACAGTAATAAAGAAGAATACCATATCATTAATTGTCTTCTCTTTTAATGCAATAGAAATGTGCCACTTTACATGTTCAAAATGTGCAATTTAGAAGACAAATATATGGACTATAATGTATGTTCTATTACAGATTAAGATTCTATGAAGCCATTTGAAGAGATATTATTCCCTGTAGTCCATTTTGCTTTGTTTAGGACATTTCAGTCAGACAACTCACGTGTTTCTTTAACATGTTTATTAGAAGCAGCATATAGTTGAGTTTAGCGTCTAGGCTTGGGCCTCATCACTCCATAGATATATATAGCACGATGAGTGATGATTAAATAACTAACCCCCGAGCCTACAGGTGGAAGCTGGGGTGGTGGTGGGGCAGCAAGCAGCAGCGACGTAGAGGTAGCTGCAGCAATAGCAGCAGCAAGCAATGCATAGAGAGAGATCTGGCAGGTTAAATAGAGCGGCATATTAAGGAGACTCTGTTTGGTTGGTTGTAGAGTGGCAAGGGGGCGTTATGTATGAATGCAGCATAAGTGCTCGAGTTGACTGCCTGAACTAGCTCGCAGGCTTCGCCCCATTTCTGGGCATTAAACTATATAAAAACGTTGTGATCAGATACCAGATTGCAAGCCCATATCTAAGAGGGGACCACGTGGAAGACCATATCTGATTATTAGTGACTTTAACGGCCCGTCCACGCAGCAGCTTTGAACAAATCTTGAAAATCTTGGAGCTGGGCGTGTCTGACAGCTTGGGGATTTTTTGCGAGCAGCTTCAAAAGTTGAACATTGCTCAACTTTTGAATCCTGAACATCCTGGAAATCCTGGAAATCTTCGCTTCGCTCCCCCACAATGCAGTTCGGCGACAAGCGAGGAAAAGTGACGTCATCCCCATTCAAAGTCAATGGGCAGAGACCATGGATGTATAATAAGAACTGGATACAGCGTGGGAGGCGGGGCCTCATTCATTCCTATGAGAGCTGCTCATTAGCGCATGATGATAAAATGGCCCAACTTTTGAGAGAGTGAAACGTCACAGATTACCCAGCATGCCTAAGAAGTACCCGTATGTGCACTCATAGAGCATGCGCAACTTTAACCAAAATGCTCGTTCACATCAAGCACGTCAATTTGCGTACACGTAATAGCACCGCGCGTTCATGACAGCATGGTAATGGATGTTGTTATCATGGATTTGATATGAACGAGGCGGCAGTTAGCAGCTAGCGGCTAGCTAGTAATGATGCTAATGTACACATCAATCGTTATGTACTTATATTACGCTGTAACAGGATCTAGTGATATCCAACAGAGCTTCATTTAGCATGAAATTATTATTGCACTGTATATATATATATACACATTTATATACAGTGCAATAAGCTTCTTAGTGCAATACGAAGCTACAGGGACGTTAATAATGTCGGTAATATTAACTTTATTTAATACAACATTTACTGTACAAGATTTAATCATACAGCCCATGTATGATAATGAATTACAGCAAACATGTGCAATATATTCATTATTACAGCTCCGTGGGATGGCAGTAAGACGATATGGGTCCGTTCTTATTGTGCATCCATGGGTAAAGATAAACGCAACTCACATTGGTTCCTCATACAGCATCTCTGTAAACTACGTGTATTCACTGAATTTCACTCTCTGCCTTTAACGGCTCGTTGTAGCTCCAATAGCTCCAGCCCCACCCTCCCTGTGAGCACAGTGTGCTCTGATTGGTCGGGACACGTAACATGAACGTGCCGGGCGGCGCGGTCCCGTGGGTTAGATGCGCGTTCATAATGCAGAGGGAAATAACTCTCAGAATAACGTTATTAGCTAATTTTTACAACTTGAGGAACGAATGTTTTTAATAAGGGCTATACAAGTGTTCATACTGGGTAGTTTATTTAGTTTAAAAAAAATTATCCAACGAGTTACAGACCACTCTTTCCCCATGTAAGTCAATGGGAAAAAGTGTTTCCGGGCCTGACAACCAAACGGAAGTGTAGTATCGCCGTTTGGCCGGCACGAATATTTTCATCTGAGTCCGGCGCACTTCCTGGGGGCTTGGCAGAGAAGCGTTGGAAGCGGTGGAAGAATCGTCTAAAGCTGCTGTGTGGACGGGCCGTTAGTGTTGATAGGTATATCTTTATAACAGAGCCAGGCTAGCTGTTTTCCCAATCTTCTAGTTGTTATGCTAAGCTAACAACAGTATGTCCTGACTCCAGCTACGGCACACAAACTAGGGGTCGATATCTATCTATACGTCCCATTCTATTTTTATTTCCCGTAGATCTTCCTTCCTTTCCTGGCGTTAGAAATATTGAAGGGTATCTGTTCCTTACTGTGCATGACATTAAGGTGGGTTGTAACACACACACACACACACACACACACACACACACACACACACACACACACACACACACACACACACACACACACACACACACACACACACACACACACACACACACACACACACACACACACACACACACACACACACACACACACACACACACACACACACACACACACACACACACACACACACACACACACACACACACACACACACACACACACACACACACACACACACACACACACACACACCTGGTGGATTCTGGCGACCTGGCCTTGAATGCAGTAATCCTGGGCCCCGGTGCGAGTTGTCCCCTCGTGTCCGGGCATGTCCACACACACCACATGCTGGCCTCTGGGGAGATGCTGGAAGAGAAAACACACGCACCCAATTATAAAATAAATGAAAAGATAATACTTTATAAATAATGAAATATAGAGTGCAGAAACAAGATGCACACGGGACAAAACATTTATCAAATATGTAAAAATAAGATACAATTCAAACAATTGAATTAATTACATATACAGTAGACAATTCCCTTTGTTTAGCAGTGTTTAAAACACTAAGATCAGGAAAACATTATGCATCATTTGATTAGATTATTCCCAGGTTATAAATATCTATCCCGGGAGCTATGCTTTGTATATCTCTGCTTCTCTAACATGAATCATATAGAGAACTTCTTTGACCAAGTGTGAACGTGGTACGTTTCTCTGACGTCCTGTGAAGAAGATTTAGCCTCCAGGCCAGCGTTATAAATGCTTATGGGTTTACATGGAGAACAGATGGGTTTTCTTCTGCGGGGGAAACCCATTTAAATGGATTCAAACATGTAATTCCATTTATCACACAAATTATCTGTGATGAAGGCGTGTGGTGCAGTGGATAGAGCCTTGGTGTTCGGATCAGATGGTCACAGGTTCAAACCCCACTGCAGTCAGCATGTAGTTGTGTCCCTGAGACCCTTCACCCCAAATTGCTCCTGTGGGGATTGCCCACAGTATTGAGTATGTAAGTCGCTTTGGATAAAAGCGTCTAACAAGTAACATGTAATTCATCATGATTACGTGTATTTGTTTTAACTCCCCCCCCAAAATACAAGTAAACAAGTGGAGAAATTGTGTAATAATGTCATGCATGACAAACTGGTAAAAGACATTGGGGGACATTTTTACTTTATTTTTAACATTTCAGATTTCTTTATTATTAGCATGAAGTCTGACAATTTTCCAAAACGTAGCTAAAGCGTCTACAAAGCCGCTGTTACGGAGAGCCTCTGTGAGTGCCCTCTGTATAATGTGTGCTAGCTCCATCTGCTCCTACAGTGGTGACTGTCCACTATCACTTCTATACTAAACCATTTCAACAAACTGACACATGCTTTAGCAAAATGCCTTTCCCCTGTTTTCACCACACCTAAAGCAAACAAGTGCAGAACATTAGTCATGGATCAGGTGTGCCGTTACAGCGGGGTAGTGTGGGTTCTTACTGATGTCTAGTGGTGTCCAGTCAGTGCCATACATGTAGTTTGTGCCATTTGCTTTCTTTGCCTTTTAACTGCAATACAATTCATTGTACAAATCTGTGCTGGAATTACTGGAGGAAGTGGGGGTAAAACTAGTTGTGGTTAATCTGAGGTTTTTTTATAGGTGTTAAGGTTTCCGGATTTTCCGAGCCTAGTCCCCATAGACAGAGCTACTGCCGCCGAAAAAAGGGGGTAGTAGCTTATTTCCAAGTGACTAAAATTACAAAAACATTCATGAAAGCATGTTATGTTTGTCATATTACATTTCTGCCAATAGATCCCTTTCAGTACAAAACACTGGTCCTTTAAAAGCTGTGCTTTTGAGAAAGATGCTTAGTGTGCACTTGTTTTTTTGTATTGTGTGTGCGAGAAAGAACTGTGTCCCTGTATGTGTGTATGATACCTTGACGATGGGCAGCCACATGTCCTTGGAGGCGGAGAAGCCGTGCAGCAGCAGCAGCGACGGCGTGGCCCCCCCCGGCGTCCCGCGGCTGCTGTAACAGAAGCGGTAACTTCCGCTTTTACAGTACCGGATCACCAGCCCCAGCCTGCGACGCATGTACCTGAGGAGGATCACAGGCAGAGATTATCTGTCATCTGAATCTGCCCCTCTAGCTGGAGACCTAGCAGTAAACAGCAACTCAAAGTTCAAGTTCTTAATTTGTCCCTGAGGGGAGATTAGTTCTGCTGATGTAGCATGAAAACAACAGCAACAGGACAAGACACAAGCAAAAAAGCAAACGACATTACCACTCATAAAACACATGGAAACGAGTGACGGGGGAACACATGAAATACAGAGAGTTTAGACAAAAGTTAAGACAGAAAGAAAGAAAGAGAAGGAAAGAAAGAAATGCACAAGTACCTAGTATCTATGAGGAAATCTAAACTTCTCCTGTATCATCTTTTCTTTTTCCTGTTAGTCAAATTGTGATTACATCATTTAAAGCCTGATTACATTTTATTCAATGTCACAGTTTTCTGTAACCGCGCATTTTATTCACGTCACAAAAACCCCTATTACCTCACTGTGACTCAGCACTGTGCGTGCGTGCGTGCGTGCGTGCGTGCGTGCGTGTGTAACTGGGTGAAAGAGCACTGCCAATCCGACCAACAAGTATTCTGTTTCCTTTATTACAGCTTTGACAAAGTCCGATAGGCCAAGGCACACCAACATATCTGCTCTTTCAAAATAAAAGCGTATTTCAGAGGCTTCATCCGGACAGATTCACTCTAGTGGCTGAAGACTTTTCTTTTTGTCACTGCTTTTAATTGAACTATTCACATCTTAAACTGCACTGTAACTTTTATCCATGTATTTTTTCTTTTAATGTTTATTTTATTATCTTTGCTTTTAAATGCCATTTTCTGAATGTCTTTCATTTTTGTAAAGCACTTTGAATTGCCTTGTGTTGAAAGCTGCTGTATAAATAAACTTGCCTTGCCTATTATAATATAATATGTTTTACTTATTGTTATTTATTTAAATATATAATTCATTATGTTGCAAATGAGAAATGTTAATATTAACTTAAAAATATATTATTATATTAGGTATTTTTATATTAGGTGATGTTTGACCAGTAGTGGTCGAGGCAGGATTTGAGACAGTTAACCGTCTTGGATGTGACAACGCTTTCTGGTAGATCATTCCACAAGTCAACCACACGCAGGCTGAACAAGTTGCGGCGGATAGCCAGTCTTGAGTACTGTTTCTTCAACTTGAAGCAGTGTCCACGAGTCCTGGTGTTATAATCCCGTTGTAGTGGGCATGATGTTTTGTAGATGTTGTGGAGATATTTGAAAACTTCGATCATATCTCCCCTCGCCCTTCTATAATACATACTCGGGATTTTAAGACTTTGCAGTCTTTCTTGATATGGTAGGTCCTTTAGTTCTGGGACCAGCTTCGTTGCCCTTCTCTGTATTTTCTCGATGAGCTCAGCATCCTTTTTGTACATGGGGGACCAAGCGACATTCCCATACTCGAGGAGTGGCCGTACAAGAGAGATGTATAAACTACGTACTACGTCAGAGTCCAAATAAGTGTATGATCTGCGGATCATTGCTAGGATACCATTCGCTTTGTTACTTGCCCGACGGATATGGTCACTAAATGTCAGGGTATTGTCAACATTCACACCAAGGTCCTTTTCATTCTGAGTCTCGGATAGGTTTATAGTGTTTGAATTATCACCCATATTATACTCGTATTTTTTATTCAGAAAACCTAAGTGCATTACTTTGCACTTTGCTGCATTGAATTTGAGCTGCCAACACTCGGACCATCTTTGTATTTCTCTGAGATCTGACTGGAGTTTTTCTGCATCCTCTTTACACTTAATTTCCTTGAAGACTTTAGTATCATCTGCAAACATCTGGACCCTGGAGCTCACATTATCGGGTAGGTCGTTGATATAGAGGACAAACAGTGCAGGACCCAGGACACTACCTTGTGGAATTCCACTGAGAACTGGGCACCATCCAGATGGTTTCCCGTTAACAAAGACTCTCTGTCGCCTGTTTTTGAGAAAGTCTGAGATCCAGGTGAGTATGTCTCCACGGATACCATACCCATAGAGCTTATTCAGTAATCTTTTGTGAGGTACAGTATCAAATGCTTTCTGGAAATCCAAATAAATGGCATCGAGACTTCCTCTTTCGTCAAGTGTACGAGAACATATGTCAAGGCAGGCCAGGAGTTGGGTTGAACAGGATCTGCCCTGGACGAAGCCGTGTTGGCGGTCTGATAATAGGTTGTTTGAGTCAAGATGTTCTATGACGGCATCACGCACCAAGGATTCAAGGAGTTTGCATACTACTGCTGTAAGGCTGACAGGCCTATAGTTTCCTATCACATGGAGGAGAAGCAACCACCTGAAGCTTAATATGTGCAACACCATCATCTGGTTGTGGTAGGCGAGCAGAGGAAGGCTTCATGTCCATGGGCAACTTCACAAACATTCAAGTTTTAATTTGTATCTTTGGGGTGATTTTGGAAACTCCTCTGAGCAAGGAAGGAAAGAAAATGTTTACCCTCGGGATGAGATGTGGTTGAACTATGCTTACACATACTGTAGCTCTGATGTGTTGATAACAAATTAACTTTGAGTTATAGACATTGAAATTGAAATTCTTTACCCGAAGAAAAATACAAAAACAAGTAATATAAAAAAAATGTATATATGTATATATAATAAGATAAATGGAAAAAAAAACAATAGAAAATTAACTTTACTGTAACAACACTGCTATATGCAATATATACTTTACAAATATGTATTATGTTGTTACTGGCTACTTACTTTTTTTAAATACTGCTACTCATTTTTAACCATGGTTGTTTACTTATTTCATTTTATAAATTGTACTTGCTTTTTGTTTGCGCTGCCCCATTGCTGTGACAATGTCAACCTCCCCGCTATTGGACAAATGAATGATTTCTGATTCAGATGTTTTATCTAAATAACATTATGATGTTACAGTGACCTTGTCATTTGACGTTTCACTGCCAACATCTAATCAGTTTGACCTTGAGTCCAAGAGGATGTATGTGAATAATACCCTGAAGGCAATCCTGAGATACTATGTTCACAAGAATGGGATGGTCGTCCTTTAAACATAATGTGTCCAATGACGCAACCCTCGAACACAGAGGTGCTGGTTTTGGAAAAATTAACAAATCCTCAGGTTACTATCAGATCTTGGAAGGACCCCTGATTAAAACCTGTACAAATACGGAATGAAGCAGTTTCATCTTGTTGTTTTTTGCTCCAACTGCATTTGGCTGCAACATTAGCTCCGCTTTTTTTCTTTGACAACCTAGGTTGTCTAATGAAAAAAATCCACCACCGTGTCAAAAGTAAATTTATGACAAAAACCACAACACGTGAAAATATGTTGCCACTACAGACAACCAAATGTAACAAAAGGCTCCTTTGATTATAAGTGTGGCTTTCCCTAGGTTTCAAAATGGTTGAAAACACTGGGGTAATATAATAAGTACACAATTATCAGCAACATGTGATCAAAGTATCCCAAGTAAAAGGACTTATTCTGCAACAACAAAAAATCGCCACCATGTGAATATATTATTATATAAATATAACATTATTTTTGTAATAATCAATGTTGTTTCATAGAGCAATATTTAACTGTTGTAGACAAAGTTCTCTTACACAAATGATTCATGTTTATGATTTTCTTTTCTTAACTTCTTATATTGGATAACTTTTCCTTTTTGTTTTCCCTCAAATTGTTATTCCACTGGTTTCATCTTTAGTGATGCATTATGTCTAAATTGTATGCTGTTTTTTTATGAGTAAATGTTCTTATTTACCTTTTTAGTTATGTCAGATTTAGCTGTTAGCTCATTTCCATCTGCAGTCCCTAGGCAGTTAAATAACATAACAATCAACTAGGGCTGCTCAATTAATCGTATTTTAATCGCGATTACGATTATGGCTTGCAACGATTACGAAAACAACGTAATCTAAATAAAACGATTATTTTTGTATTATGACTTTTTACTTTTTTTTTTCTTATTTATTAATTTTTTTCTTGGTTTTTCAGTTGAATTATACTTACAGTTCAGGGTAATCAACTGTTAAAAACATACTGTTCACATTTTCTTTCTCCAATAAATTGATGTTTTCAAAGTAAATGGATAATCGTTTTTAATAATCGTAATATCAATTATTGACCCAAATAATCGAGATTATGATTTTCGCCATAATCGAGCAGCCCTACAATCAACAGACTATTACCAGTCTAACCAGTGTGTGTGAGTGTGTTTACCAGTTGTAAGCTTTAAGGAGGGATCCAGGCCAGAACATGAAGGAGTAGATGAACGCGAGGACTGGGAGAACCAGAATACATCCTGATATCATTATCATCTCCATGGCTGCACACCCTTTCAAAAATAAAACACACAAAAATACATCAATATCATCAATACAAGAATTTGAGTTCAGTAAACCCAGTAAGTTATCATTTTGGCTCTCATAAGTCATGAATCTGTCTCTATAAACATTAACCAGTGTGTGATATACACCATTAAAGAAAGGGCTGGTCAATATATCTACATTGTATCAATATATGATATGAAACTGGATATCGTTTAGATTGTTGATGTCCAAACACTATAATATGACATATGTGTTGTCTTTTTCTGATTTCTAAAGGCTGCAAACAGAAGGGAGATGTCATTTTATTTAAAAAAAATGTTTTTGTCTGTGCCCACTTTATCATTAAATCACATTACTGATACTTATTTATCAAAAATCTCATTGGGTAAATATTTTGTGAAAGCACCAATACTAAACCCTACGGTTTATTTGCTATGTTGTTATCACATCAAATGTTGTGACATTCTTATACACCATTTTGAATTCTTATAAAGTGTTTAAAGTGAGCTTGAATGAAATCAGACGAGAAGCCTTGCATTAAAATAGATTAATCTCAAAAAGAGAAGAGCTTAATAGTAGACTGCTCATAATTTCATGATTTTACCTAAGAAAATGTTACTTTTTTATGTTCATCTGGTATTATTCACGTTTTATGTGAATTTGCCTCGAAATATACTGACCTATATATTGCTTTGATTGTTTTACTGTATTGCTTATTCAACTTGAAAATGAACTCAAACAAAAAAGACGGTAGCATTTAAAGTAATTTTTTCCCGGCGGTGTGTACATACAGTAAAGTAGCGGAAGACCGAACTTCCCTTTAACAACATGAACGCTGGTTTCCTTTAAGTTTCAAAATACATATTTCTATATTTTATGCATAAGGTTTCACGGTAGGGGGAATTAATTGTCTTTTTGAAAAGCCGCAACAAATATTACATTTGAATTGACAGGTCTCCTAGTTATGAGTGTCTTTTGAAAACCTCACAACAGGTTCACAGCATGCAGGTTCAACCAACACTAGGAATAACACAGCCAGCGTCTGCATATGAAACATTAATATCATACAGCATGTCTATACCACCTGAAGAGAAGTAGCACCGTACCTGTCCGAGTCCTCTTCGCTCTGTCACCGCCTGACGTCCTCCATGCACCTCCTCCTCCTCTTTCACCCACATTACACAACTTCTTCTTCTTCTCTTGCTTTTGGCGGATTGCAAACAACTTAAAAGGTGCATACCGCCACCTACTGTACATGAGTATGAATCATTACATCATTCCAACTCTTTAACTTATGCTCTAATCAAAATACAATTTAAATAAATAAATAAAACAAAAAACAAATCTATGTTCTTTCCTGACCTAATGTTAAATTCTTTTTCCTACCCCAGTTTCACTCAAGAATTTAAACAGTGCCTTTCTGGTATCTCTTACTCCCTCTCCTTTTGTTCCCAAAACACCAACCACACTCCATTCCCTCTCTGCCTCTAAGACTTTAGCCTTTAGTTGTTCTCTTTCTGCTTTATAGATGTCACAATGTAACAATATATGTTCTACATCTTTTTTTACTGCACAGTTCGCACACTTGTTACTGTCACTTTTCCCCATGATATACAGCGTACTATTCAAAGCCGTGTCACATTACACAACAACCTATCATCTCAAAGTCCTGTGCTGCGTTTGGGCACCGTCGGAAATATCATACATCTAAATTATACCTGTTTAACATGGAACAACTGTTGCATTTTAACTGGATATTCTTCATTTATAAAAGTATAAACTTTAAACATTATAAAAGTGTACCCATTTCTCTGTTTGTATTTATTGTTAACAGTGTACATATTTATAGTATTTGAACAGCACATATATAAATATATAGTATTATTATTATATATATAAATTGTAATAATTTATGTTTTGATGTGTTCATCACTTTATCGTTGGAGCATGTGTTTGACTTTTTAACAGGTATTACAATACTACTGGGGAGCTTGTGAATGTTTCCAATGGATCCATAACGTTTTCTTAATGTATAATAAAACGTAAAATAGAATTTGTTGGTTTATTTTATATTATTAATTAGAATCTTCAAAGCTGTCAAATAAATTTTGTGGTGTAAAAATGACAATATTTCCCCCGAAATTGTAAGTAAAAATGAGTGCCTCAACATGAGGGCTCTGCTTCATATTTACATTTGAAAGTTAAAGCTCCAGCTCATGCTGAAACATCCAGTGGAATGAAATGATAACATTTAGGGGGGGACCTGGGCATCTTGTCACATTTTTAACTTCAAATTCTAAATTAAGTACAGCCACAGAAAATGTGAATTATAATTTAACTTGACAACATCCTGGATAGGAGACCAGGTGCAATACAACCTCAACAGGAAAATCATTTCTTACAAAAATATGTTGAACCTTCAAATAAATCCATAATTGCATTGAGGTACTTGAAGATTGACCCACCTTTGATCGATGCACCCATTAAAGTAACGTAAATGCATCAAGATTCATTGTCAAATATGATTTTAATTATGTAATTCTGCATGATAAGTGCTTTTGATATTTTGATTAGATTTTTAATATTTCTTATGTTAAGTTAAGTTCAGGACTTTTAGAGTTGTATTTCTAAACTGTGGCATCACTATTTTAACTGGTAACATATGCGAATATTTCATTACCTTTGTCAAATTGTTTATATTCTAACAATAAACATTATAAACATTATCAAAGTGTTGAGACACTTTTATTGGTTCTCAGAGGCCACAGTTATTTGTCACCAGGGCTCAAGGATAGAAAAAGTCAGAAATAAATAGAAAATTAAACATTAGATAACAATATGTAGGATCTTTAAAACTAAAACAAGCATAGCAATAAAACACAATCAGCAGGTGTATGTCAATTGAGTATGTATATAACATGATTGACAATATGATTAGGTAATGAAGTCTGCTTGGTTATAGAAGCAGAGGAAATGATCTCAGTCTTGCATATCCTCTGATGACGCTGGGTGCTATTAAAGACCATAAAACTCTGCAGACCAAATAGTGGGACTCAAAATATCCTTTTCTGGGTTTTTATTCATGGTTCAAGAAGTGCCGTCAGACGGTCCGCCGGGTGATGTAACTACAGAGGAACGCTGGCCGGGAAACAAGAAATACTTCACATACCTGCTACACACACCACACGCACACGCACGCACACACACACACACACACACACACACACACACCCTTTGTAAAACTTTAAAAAAGAGCTCTGCTTCAGGTTTGGGTCGCCTGATTACATTCAACATGAACTAGTGATTTCCAGATTCACCTCTATTTCAAAAATGGTAACAGATAACAGTAAGTTCAATCAGAAATGGCTTTTATTCAGCTGTCAAAACATCATACGCAAAAATATCTTCATTTTATCTTCTCTTTAAACAAAACACGCCATGCAACTATAACCTGGTGTGAGATTATCTTTAATCCCTACGGGTGAAGACATTTAATTATTTCATGAACAGAATCACTTCTGATTTAAAGAGGACCTATTCTGCTCATTTTCATGTTCCTATTTAGTGTCTCTATTGTGACATGTTTCAATGCTTCAATGTTCAAAGAGTTATTTATTTTCTCATACTGCCTGTGCTGAAGCACCTCTGCTCTGATTGGTTACTCCCTCTGGAGGCAACTTTGGGATTTTAGCCTTTGCAGACGATTTGCATGCAACAAACCTATAACACAGTACAGGAAAGGAAAACCAAAAAAGTATAATAGGGCCCCTTTAATACAGTAACATTTCATTCATATTTTTACTGTGAAATTCAGTTATAAGTGTAATTGTGTAATGCTGTAATTTATATTAACAGCACCGTTAATAATTTATCTGGGAATTCCTTATTTTATCTTTTCAGAAAAACAGATTTTTTGTTCACAGACTTATAGAAATCCTTGATCGTCATTTTACCCCGACAAAGTTTAACAGCTCATCTCGTGTTCATATAAAACTTGTATTATTTCATAATTTACCGAGCTAGGCTCACACTTCCAGTTTTTGTGCTAAGCTAAACATTTCAAACTGACACACACAATTAAAACTTTAAATATGAAATTGCTTGTTATATTTCACTGTATCATCTTGCAACCCTGTCACCTGAAAATGCTGTTCCCATAAGAATCTGTATCTATTCTTTATTTTCATTGTACAAGTATTTTTTTCTATATGCAACTTATTTATCTAGTAACACTACAAGATAAAATATTTTCCTTGTTTCTAAAAAGTTGGCATTTTGCTTTAAAAACGTAAGCAAATGTATTTATTATATTAGGTTAGATGCTGTATGACTTTCAGTTTTGAATTCTAACTTTGAAAACAAAATACTTAGTGAACCTCACAGAAAGTGATGGAGATACAAAACCTTACTCAAAATAATAAGTGAATCTTAAGCTTGACTAAAACAACATGTCAAAAAAAAGAGAAGAAAATAGCAAATTAAAAGTAAAATCCATACTTCCTATTTGTACACGCAAAGGGTCAACATCTACACTGATAAACACAATTCAAAACAGTCCAGCACAGTTCTGTTAATTTGTCTGCCTTCTGCATGTCCAGTTCCCTCAGTTTTAAGTCAAATAATTGGATCATTCCTAAAATGACACACAAATCTGCTTCTGCTTTGATCTAAAACCATCTGGCTCCAGTCACTGTCAGTTCTTGAAGTGCTATAATAAATCCACCAGTAAGTACTTTAAACACTTCTGTGTCAACTAAACATTCCCTTAAGTACTTAAAGCAGTAGGCTCGACTGAGAGTGCTTAAACGACAGCTAGACATCTTATGTTAAACATTGATATATCATCTGGAGTATTTTAAATACTTGTCAAATGAAAATAAAATGTAATGACTTTAAGCGCTACTAATTCTGTATTATTTTGTTACTCATGTCATGTATTTGTATATAACAGGCAAACCACCACAGTCGATATCAGATTTACAGTTTGGTTTTTTTTCGGTATTTTTGACCCTATAATTCTGTTTTTGAGCACTGCTAAATCTTTTAAATCACCATATTGAGTTAACACTGTCTCAGTGCTGACAGGGTGTATCCAGGTTTTGTCCGCACTTCCAGCAGCAGTAATGCTGATGATGCCAAGTTCTTCCATCTGTCCCCGTGTGAAAAGACTGAGAGAAGATCAACTGAGAGAGGAGAAACAGGACAAAACGGATATGTTTATTTAGCAATTGGAGAATAAAGTTAAGGTCAAGATTACAGTTGAATTCTTCAGTGTTTGAACCAGGCTTTTTTGAGAAAAGAGTTAAGACTGCTAATGAGCAGTATATATAACAATAGCCTGTTTAAATGTATATTGATGGGCCATCAGGGCAAGCAAAGCCTTCTCTCCTGGCCTAAACACGGTCAGAATCACTGACTAACCTTTTAATATAGTATTTTCATTAACAAGTTTTAAATTATTTCCAATAGTCTATTCTCTTCATTGTATGGCTTTTCTCTGTGTTGCGGGCCTCATCAGATAACTTTGCATGGGGCCACAAGTTGGCCAAGGGCGGCCGTGGCTGCGTCCAGTAATGGTTGGTAATGTTGGAGCTGTTATCCAATCACATTTAAGTCAGAATGTGCTGCAGGGTCAAATAAACCAGCCTGAGGCCTTCAGAATCAACAGTGCGGGCAGTAAAACAGTAGCTTAAAATAAATGGCAACGTAACTGTTGCATTGACCAATCACATTATGGTGATTGGTCAATGCTTAGGGCCATCTAGCAGGCGTACGATGACGTCAGCATTTTCACGGGCCACTACTGTTTATAGTTAATAGCTGCATAATTCTTGCTTTTCTGTATTTGTATCCTCGTGGTTGATAGCAATTATAAGTCGTTGTGGATAAAAGCGTTAAAGACCCATTTATGATGCTAACAATTTGTGTTCAGCCGGATAATCTGTACATAATAACATCACTTGTATGATTCTTGAAGCGTAAATGCAATTGCCAGAAGTAAATGGCTAACGTTACCATCACCACGTTACATCACCACTGCTAAGCTAAAGGCGGCTAACTGTCTGTGTGATGATGTTTTAGCAGTCTCTTTTAGTCATTTCGTAGCAACCGCCGTTTTAATGACATTAAAGCTTCAGAGCTTCAGCACCAGTGGGGTATTTACTGACACATTTTATGTTGTAGGACAAAATGTGAAAATCTCTTCTCTTGTGTTAACCACAGACCTTATTTGAGGTATCTGACCAGATATGAAATCAAATTTTCTTTGACTATGTAACGGGAAAGGAAGTGTACGTGAAGGGTCTCACCTCATCACAGCCTGAGCACCGCGGCCACACCGTCTCACAGTAGTGCCGTCCGCAGAGCAGCTTCTGATTGGACCAGAAGTACACCAGGTCTGCCAACCCCTGGCCACACTCTGCACACACAAAGCAGGTGGGGTGCCACAGGGCATCATGGTAACCAGCTCGGTCAGCGTAAACAGCCGGACTCTCCATGGTAACGTCACCGTGGCAACCTGTGCACTGCTGTGAGACGAGAAGGTTGTGAAGCACATTACTGCAACAACATATGATTCCAATATACAAAATGAAGCTTTTTCTAAAAACACGAGACTTATGTAAGTATTTTGTCGTTGTTGTGAGTTGTGTACTTACATTATCCCAAATGTTTCCAACACCTTTTAAACCTAGAGTAATCTGTTTTTGTTATCAATATCATGGTCCGTCTCTATCTCCTTTGCATGTCTAAGGCCACTCCTTTTCTAAATCCTGGTAGTTTAAAATATATTTTAACTGTATGAAGGATCATAATCATTGGACTCTGGAAGTTTTAAGAAAAATAAGCTCAGAACAGGTTAGCCTTTAGCTCGAAGCCCCTCTCTCCAATGTTACTGGCTTTAAATGCAAAACTGCTTTATTCAGTGTTTTTATCTTATTTACTCACTTGGACTGTTTGTTTTTTAGAAGAAGAGGCCTTTTTGGATAATACGGCTTCAAGTTCAAAACACTCAAGAAATGTACGTCTGTATCTTAGGAAAATAGCTATTTGCTCTGTACTTTGTCTACAAAAAAGCTATTGAAAAACACTGATTTTAACAGTTGTATTCACTGCGTACATTAGTTTTTGAGAGGAGGAAACGTGTGGACATAATTCAGCTCCTGGTCAGAACCAAAACATCCTAACATTAAAGAGTGAAGGACTTTAAACTGGGAAAAAGCTAACTGCAATGATGGTGTTGAAAACAACAACTCCCATGATCCCAAGCAAAGATGTCACCAAACCTTGTCTTATCTAATTGTTGTAATAGGCAGACACCAATGGAAGAAAATGATACACTTTGGATATGTTCCTTACATATCCAGTCTTCTTGCTGCCATCTGTTCCGTTAGTGGAGCAGTCATCTGAGATGTTGTTGTTGGTTGAGCCGTGGTCCTGGTGCTTCAGAGCATCCTTCTTGTCGCTGTTGCTGCGGTCCTTGGCCTCCTTTGCCATCCTCTGATTGGACGCTTCCCTCAGAGCTCCACCCTCGCCAGGTAAAGCCACCTCGCCGACTCCCAGCACCTCCTGCTTGTAGCTCTGCACAAACAGCAGCATGGCGGAAATCTGCAGGAGGACATCAGAAAGTAAGAGATCTCATGTAAAGGAATACCTTACCAACATGTGTGATTTCTGGTTCTCCTTTTAGTAACTACATTTTTTTATAAATAAATAAAAAGAGAAGCTGTGTGCAAATATTCATCACCTAGGCTAATACTTTTACAAATCATTAGCTGAAAGGGGTGTCAAATACATATTTTGTAATATGAGAGAAGCCAGGATAAAAATGTAAATGATCCCAAACCATCGAAACTAATCACCCCTGAGTTAAGGTATTCTTTTAAGGCAGTGGTTCCCAACCTTTTTTCCCAAGAGCCCCCCAAATGACTCCTGTTGGAAGTTGCGAGTCATCCGTGAGCAGAGCATCAAGTTGGCATGTCTATTACAGCTGAATGCGGCGATTACTATTTTGTTCAGCAAAACGCCTCACAAACGTATTAAGATCAACAGCTGTAGTGCGTTTTGATTCAATGCTGAGTACAGCCAAACTTGACATTCTCTTCTCTGTCATTGTAGACCGCAACTACCTCATTCCTTCAGTGCTTGGGTCCGAAAGGCTTCTCGTTTTGCGCCGTCCCCCCCGTTCAAGTGAATTCGCCACCAATCATATTTCCACTCTCGCGCCAGGACCGGGGGAGGGGTTACATGACGTGCATCTTGTGCTGCATTCACTTGCACTCGGACATTAGGGAGTTTCTCTCATAAATGTCCGATGAGCCACAACTTTTCTTTCAAAACAAAGATGCCAACTGGGGTGGCAGCTGGGGTGGCAAGGCTATTGTTTAGGGTGGCAGTTGCCACCCCATGCCACCCCGGTAGATCCGCCCCTGTGTGGATTCAAAAGTCTTAAATAATCTACAAAATGGAGGAGACCGATCTGATCGGAGCAACTGTGACAAATGATCCAACTGAAACCGGCATGGACAATGACTGTTTTAAAAATGCGCTTATCCAGACAAGCCTGGTTTGTACACTTTACGGGCAGAAGAAACATTTCTATTAAAGAAAGAATTATACATTTCTGTCTTTTTATGCCTAATAGCTCAACCCAGTCTCATGGCATTTCGTGTTCACCAACACGATTTTCCCCTTTTTTTCGTGTTGCACAGCACGATTTTAAAAGCAATGTATTTCTACTGGTAATGTGTTTCGTGCCTGCAGCACGTCTTTTTCTCCGGTCGGGTCGTGGAAGACCGGAAGCTGTGTGGTTCATAAAAACATGTTCTTACTCAATATCAAGCCACAATTATTGATTTTATTTTAAATCGTATAATTTCTGACTTTTGTTGCTGTCTGTGAGGAAAATAAATGGGGCTCAGAGCCTCAGAATACTGAAATCTGTATTTTTAAAAACTTTTTTCCTTCTAATTTGTTATTCTTTTCAAAATAACACTGTTATTTACACACCAATAACACACAATTATACTTGCTTTTATTTATTGGTTTAATTCCATAATCTCTGGCTGTTTTGGCGTCCGTCAGGAACTGAATTTCAAAATAAAAATAACCAGAAACAGACGTAGGCATTTCGAGCGATTACCCAAGATCCTCAGCTATGGTTTAAGCTCGCTGATTGGATGTTTTAGCCTCAATGCATGCTGGGATTTGGTGTTTATATTATTTGAAATCCAGAAAACATTTTAAAAGAATAAAATACTTAATTCCGAGTGCTCTTGCTTTTCTCTTTGAAAGTCATCACATAACGGCATTGTAATACACGGTTCGGCTGCATTAAATATTACAGATCTGCCGTAGTTCTTTATTTATAGAGCCCTGATGAAAAGACCTTTGGAAAAACTGAAGAAATGCCGCCGAAACTGAATACTTGACGTGGATCATAAATATATTCAACAATTAAACAACATCTTCAATTTCTCTTCACACAATACGTCTCCTTGCAGTATCAACACTAATTCGGCTGACTTTTACATTTGATCTAATTTGTAGATCGGTTATATTTACACCATATTGGGGCACAGCTGATATAAAAGGACTTGTAGTTTTTAAAGATATTACTGATTTTCTTTGAATATAAGAATGTAAATACTGAGTCTGAAATAGTATAGCAATATGCTGTAAAATTATGTGAAAGCATGAATAAAACTACAGATCTTCAGATGTTGTACATACATAAGTGTCCTACACTAATAATACAAAGTTATTATGGCTGTGTGTACCTTGTGTGCACCGCCTAGTGGTTAAAGCACGTTATTGAATTATCGTGTATTATTATGTGTTATATTTGATTAAAAAAATATTAAGAGTACATACTTTCATAGGGGGAAAGTAGAAGGTTTGTGATAGAAATATAAAATATAAAAAATCAAGAAGATATACTGTAAGTGTTCTCTACAATAAAACAGTTTAGTGCAGGATGTACAAAGATATTAATAGGAGGAGGTGCAAAACAGAAAAACGAATTAACCTTTATTTAAACATTAAATAACAGATTAAGGTCTTCTTTTAAATAAGAAAAAACGTTGGGGGTATCTATTTACAGATAAATATTAAGCCTGACAAAGTACTTAACGTCTAATATATTGCTTTCCTGCAATGTTAACTATGTTGAAGCACTTATTTTAACTGATATTATACACATTAATTATATTCTTATGTAGATAGAATAAGAAATGTGCAGAATATGACAGTTTAATGGTGGAGGTACACACATATTGATAGATGTCTTGTAATGCACTGTTGAGGAACCTGTGACCCAAGTTTTTCATTCATTGCATAACTACACCGTAGTTGTGTATATGATATGTCAATACACCTTTGAAAATCTTGAAATCTTGAAAGGGATGTGCAAAATAGCCATAATATACAGTCTTTAATGAACTATTAGTAGAGAATAACGAGTAATGAATATACTTTATTACTCGTTTCCATTCATGTCAATTGCAGATACATGTTTAGTCTTCTCAAGCACCAACTATCAAATATCTCTCCTGATTGTTGGCACTTGACAATCACCTTCCCTGAATTTTACTCAGGTGTAACTAAAGTCTGATTTAAGGGTTGTTTATATTTCACATCATTAATCAGAATCTGCAAAGTAACTCAAATAAGTGTGGTGGAGTAAAAATACCAGGTTTACCTCTGAATTATAGTGGAATAGAATTACAAAGTAACAATGAGCTGTCATGTGGGTATATATTAATGCTGCGCATTATAGACACAAGCGATTTTCACCCATTTATTAATTATATGTTTTACATTTGATAACACCAATGTGTTTAATACTGGCAACTTCTAATTGTGGGAAAAACGAAAACGTTCAGTAGAGACGTCCTATAGAACATTTTGCGAAACACAATAGCCAGCATGTGTAGTTCTGGGGGGGCGTTCGATTCCAGTTTTGGATAGTCTGGCGTGGTTTCGTTCCATTTCAAACAGCTGTTTGACGCTCGGCATAACCTTGGCGCACTGCCACTCCAACATCCAATCCCAAAGTTTGAAGATTAATCACGGGGACTGTAGTCCTAAACGATAGCTGGGGATTATGGGTAGTGTAGTTTCTTCGGCCATCTTAAACTCAGAAATGTTGACAATCGCAATGATGCTCGAAATGTCCCTTATAGGCCTACGTCTGTTTCCGGTTATTTTATTTTGAAATTCAGTTCCTGACGGACGCCAAAAAAGCCAGAGATTATGGAATTAAACCAATAAATAAAAGCAAGGATAATTGTGTGTTATTGGTGAGTAAATAACTGTTATTTTGAAAAGAATAACAAATTAGAAGGAAAAAAAGATTTAAAAATACAGATTTCCGTATCCTGAGGCTCTGAGCCCCATTTATTTTCCTCACAGACAGCAACAAAAGTCCGAAATTATACGATTTAAAATAAAAGCAATAACTGTGGCTTGATATTGAGTAAGAACATGTTTTTATGAACCACACAGCTTCCGGTCTTCCACGACCCGACCGGAGAAAAAGACGTGCTGCAGGCACGAAACACATTACCAGTAGAAATACATTGCTTTTAAAATCGTGCTGTGCAACACGAAAAAAAGGGGAAAATCGTGTTGTGAACTCGAATCAATAGATTAAAAATCGTGTTGGTGAACACGAAATGCCATGAGACTGGGTTGAATAGCTATAACTTGAATTTGTATTCAAATGAATTAATCAATTATTTATTTATTTTTATTGTAATGTAGAGACAAGGCTTTTAGTGACAATCATGTATTATTTTACAATTATATGTAAAAATTAAAAAAAAGTCTAAATATGATATTTGGCCTCAAATCATCTGAGGCCTGGTGCCTCCCCTGCGATCTTTGGCGCCCCCCAGGTTGGGAACCACTGCTTTAAGGTATATTGGTTACATACAGCTTAAGAAATAAATAGTGTTTGGAGTGATGTACCTCCTCTTCGGTGGCGAGGCTCTGACACTTCATGGGGTCCTGATCGTAGGCAGGGAGCTGACCGAGGAGCTGCCTGTGCCGCTCCAACGCTCCGTCTGTCCCCGAGACGGGACGAAGACTCTCCGGGATGAGCTCCATGTACTGCATGGCCTGAAGAGGATCAGGGGCAGTTTACTTTGGGTTAGTTTTACTGCAGCTTTTCATTTTACAGCAGCTTGCATTTTCCACTAGTTGTTAGTATGTTGAGTTAAGAATTGTCTGATGAACTTTCAATGGCAAATTCATCATCAAATGTATCAAATATAGAACATGGAAAAAGGAAATATGTAAACTAAAAAACCTCTACCTCACAAGTTCAATTTATCGACATGTATACTTATATTGCAGTCTGTAAAACATACTGTAAGACATATGACTGCCTAGCCCTTGCCAACATAGCTTGTTGACTTCAGATTGACTTGAGGAAATGTTAGGTGTTGTCAGTGACATAGCTGTGGGTTGTTCTTAATGACTAACAGTCTACAGCTACAACAAAGGTGGACAAACAACTACATTTTACATAGAAAGCAGTTATGAATTACATACTCTGTTACAAATAAGTAAATATAAAGTCCTGCATTTAAACGTTGACTTTAGTAAATGTATGAAAGTAAAATGACTATTATAATAAGTAAGTAACTAAAGATATTTGCCTCTGAGAATTTGTAGACATACAGTGTAGTAGCAGGAGAAGTATTTTTGGACTAGGTTTCTTACTAGCAGCATCATTTAAAGTGGAAAAACATTAGGCAAACAACATTTAGTTTTTAGGGGAAGGTTTTCCAGACCGCAGCTCTCAATAACCACTGTCGTCCTTATAATGATAGATATGAAACATCTGTCTAATGACAACCAGACGGCCTACACTGTTCAACACACGAAGAGCTGCAGAAACTAACCATACTGATGAGTATAGTGATAAATCCCATTGGTAAACCTCTAGGATGGGAGAAAAAAGTTCTTTATTTTTGTTTGTGAGCATGTGCATGCACAAAGTAGGATAACAACACACATAAAAGACAAGGAACTGAGGACTGGTCTTACATTTGTTCCAGTTAGTGATTAGTCAGAAACAGAACACCAATAAAGTGGTGCAGGAATGAGCCCTAAAACCTGAAATGAGTTGGCATTTTCAGCCCCCCGGGTTGCTTTGTCTTAAGTAAGTGTTTTTGGTTAGCAACCTGAAACATGGTCTATGGTTAAACAAGCTGAAAAGATTTTAACGTTTTGTTCTACGACATGAAATCTTTCTGTAAATACCCCATAGTGAATTTCGGTGGTTGATGACAACTATGAGACTGCCTAACGTCATCATGTGGAAGATGAGTGTGCCTTTAGCTGAGTGCTGGGGATGCAAGTCCTGCAACCGTTTTGAAGTTCAGTTATAGACATTTTACTCCTTGCTATTGCATTAAATGTTACAAGTTTCACAAAATGTGTGTTCATTTGTGAGACATTATATCAAAATTGATTTACAATATCACATAATGTTATGTCCGTAGCTGAAGTTACTTAACAAACTGATTTATTTTAAACACAAAGCATTGTCCTGCAAAGTCCTCAGATCTCATCCTCAAAGAAAATCTGCTATAGAAAATGTGACTTTACAAGCTTTCTCAACTTCACAAGAGCATCCAACTTCCTGATCTTCCCACGGATCCTCACCAGTGTTTGGTGGAGGCCGGCCGGCGCCCAGTCGTACGTCGTGGTGTTGAAGGTCGGGTCTTTACGCGACACCACTGGATTGGTCACGATCATGCGGTTCCTCTTGTATATGCGAAGGCCACCGCCTCCTTTGACTTTCACTGTCAGGTGGGAGCACGGGGAGTCTGAGAGCAGGCGTCCCATTCGCTGGTCATCTTCAAGGTCACTCCCCGGAGCATGGTCCACCGCGCTACAGCCACAGCTGATACAGGCTTTTCTGCACAGGTAAATGAAGAATAAGTAGAGATAGATATTTAAGGAAAATATTAATTCATCGACATGCAAAGGGTTTTCTAAGGAGGAGCCAATGTAGGTTTTTATTAAAAAAAAACAGGGATGAGGTAATGTTTTGAAAAAGAAATTGGAAATTCTGAAACACAAGAAATAAACTCGTAAATGTAGGGTTTTGTCAGGGAGCCAAATCGCTTTAATATAGGGAAATGATGTTTTCAGTTAAGAAAGTGGTGCAACGCTGATGGAGCTAACAGTAAACAAATAAGTGGGACATCATCCCTCATGGTCTTCCCAGCTGTAGAAACTGACAATTAGTGTTTTGGTGTAAGAAAACAGACATCTTTCTTTTGTCCATGTAGTCTAAGCTTGTTGGTGCAGAACAGACTCTCACTTCATCCTCTCAAGAGGCTAGAAGTATGCAAAACCACCAACTTTAATAGCAGAGAGTCGTTGAGAGAGCGAAGAGAAACCACAAAGAGTGTGTACAGCATTCTTTTTTCTCTCTTGTGGGTTCTTTTTTCTGGCAGAGAGAAATAATAGAATAAAAAGCAGTATACCTCCAGGAATGTGGCTGGTATCCAGAGCAGCTCGCCTCACATACATGGCAGACGTCTGCCCCTGCTGTACTCTGCTTCATAGACATCTGAAACAAAAACACCATCATGATACACATTGTTTTCTCAAACCTCTCTTTTAAAAACCCTTTTTTCAGAATAGCTTTTCTCTTGAATTTCTTGTATTTTCTGTTCTTTATCATACCTCACTTGTCATTATTACTGAATACATTATATTTTGTTACGGTGTGTGCAGGAAGCAGGACCCAAATGCAGATTAAAGTGTCAAAAATAACTCCTTTATTTCAAGGCTAAACTATTCAAAAAGACAGAACAGAACACTCACCGATGACCTAGTCAAAACACAAGACGAACCGACAGAGACAGAAAAACCAGAACTTAAATACACACAAGACTAATTATACAAACAAGACACAGGTGAGGAGGGAGGAGAAAACACAGGGACACCAGGTGCACACAATCGGGTAATAAGACACACCAGGGAAACTAACGACAGGGAACCACAGACAGATCTAAAGACAAAACACAACGCAGACAGAAAACCAAAGACAGATCTAGACAAGACACAACGCAGACAGAAAACCAAAAACAGATCTAGACAAGACAAAACACAACACAGACAGAAACAGGCAAGACAGGAGGTGAAGACCTTTCAAAATAAAACATGAAACAAAAGACAGAAAAAGACAAGACAAAATACAACACAGACAGATCTTGACACATTTTGTGTATTGTCCGTTCTCTTTATGTCTTTGTAAAACACTTCATAACTCATTTTCAAAGGTTAATACTATAATTATTCATATTATTATCATTATTGAGGCTAACTCTGATTCTGTGAGGTACAGTCCATTAGGTTTCTACCTTATAAGAAACCTAAATTAAGAACATCTAAGATCAGAAGTCAACCTGAAAAAAGCCTAAATTACGGTCCAAAATATGTGTACAGCAGGAAAATAAAGTGTTGGAATGATGAAAAAAATTAATATTTTCTTCCATAAGTCAAAAATAATGAAACACTTATCTCATAATTGAAATGTGTTTGACTTTTTAAGGTATGAGTGTGGGGATAATCTACTTGTTATTACTGTAGTGAGTGTATGTATAAAGACCTGATCTTCTGTGCCATAGAGCTCCATCGATGTTCCAATAAACACATCAACAAGCCACACTGTTCCACTAGGTGACATGAACGCACATATTCTGCTTTCTATTTGACTTAATCCCTTTAAATGCACTTAAATTACAAAAACTAAATGAAAATAAAGGCCTGATATGCGGCACAAAGCCGGAAAACAAAATGCAGTGCTTATTCTGCATTGTTTTCAAGTATTTTCCAACTAGAAGTTTTATTTGAGTAAATTAGTGCTAGAATAGATAGCTCCCCAGATCGCTTAAAGTCAGTAATAGTCGATGGTGTTCTACAAAAGTTGTAGCCAGTAGGGGCTGAGGGAAACAGATAGTGGTTTGGTTTTTCTTTGCAGCATCAGCCCAAACAACAATACCACATGTGAACGCTTGACGGGAAAAGGTTGAAAAGTAATCTGTTGCTAATTTAGAGTGAAAGTGAAAGTGAATACAAAACCTGAACCTTCATTTTTGACTATGAAAAACTAGATTCATAAAATATTCCACCAACTTCTTCGGGTGGTGAAGCCAGTGAAAGCTCGTGTGAAAACGTTTGAGTTTAATTATCCAACATCACCCCTAAACTTAACCTGGAAGCACTGAGCCAAATTAATTAATCCGTCGCTGAAAATAGTCCCCAACCAATTCTCTATTTCTAGTTCGTCTGTTTGACCAGCTGTTTTAGGAAATTCCACCCAAAAAGTTCAATCTCCCAGGAAAATGATGTCCTGCTTCACGTCATTTAGCTTGAACACAAAATGCAGTGCTTCCTGTGCAGTAAAGTGTCTCTGAAGAGGTAAGACAACAGTTCGGAGTAGTGACGATTATTCTGACATGAGAGCACGTGATTGATGGGAAAGAAGAAATGATGTTTCTAACTTTTCTGAGTAAGTGTGGGAGGAAGAAAGGGAGTGAACACACACACACACGTATAGTGGATGATCTCATTGCTCCACCCGGTGACATCATCATTATCTCAGTACTAACAGTCTTATCAGTCCCTGTGCTCAATTTTGTATTTTCCTCCTTATCCTCCTCAGTCACACTACAATCATAAAATAGTTATATCTCCTTCAGCTTTTTCACTATTTAATTGTTTTCTCCTCTTTCCTGTAACTCACATTTTCTAAGCTTTCTTGTACTTTTATATATACAGTAAGAAGAAAAGAAAAAGCCCACTATCCTTTTCCAGACTATACACTTCTAGTATAAGCATTAGTCACAACAGACATTTGGTCCATTTGGGTATGGTCACGTCACCGTACCCAGGAAGAGAAAAAGAGAGATCTCCAACGAGGCGTTCTGGGGCAGCACAGACAGGTATTTTCTGTGTTAGAGTGTTACTCTCTACAGGGTGTACTTTGAGGGTTTGTGACTCTGCAGACCGTTTACATGCAGAAACACCTTCATAACACACAAGGGGACGGGTAATTTGTAATGTTTGCATATGTACAGTACATGTATGCTGAACTGCAGGACGGATTCCAGAACAAATTTCCTTACGGGGACAATAAAGTATATCGTATCGTAATAACCGGAAAAGCATGTCATGGGACCTTTAAGTACGATTTTGAATGCAGAACCTTTACTTTAATGGAGTATTTTTGACATGATGTATACTTTTACTCAAGTAAAGCTTCTGAATACTTCTTCCACCACTAGTACTCACAACTTTCAAGCTAGCAGTTATGGAAGACTGGTCATCACAATGACTTCAGAACAAATGAAAATATTGTACAAACTAATAATAGACTTTTCTACTTGTTTTTTTTCCGAGCATTTGATTTATTGATTGCTGTCAGGACTTAGAGAGTATTTAAAACACATAACACTCCCTTTCCTTAACACAAGGTCAATTGAACTGTACATGTGTGTGCATGCAAGCTAGGGAACAATACTCAGGGACAATGAGTGACTGTTTCAAAATCCTCTGGCAGGAAACCTGATGACTGTTGTGCTAAATCGCCCTGCTGCTGACAGACCTGACCTCCCATCCATCTGTCATTAGGCAATAACAAGCTGCTCAGACACCTCAATATTCCCTCTATATTTATATATGGAGACACACGCTCCTCCACAATAGTGACCTACAATATGAGCTGCTGTTTCACTCTAACGACAGTCATTCTTTTGTTTTGCCTCCAGCTAACACTATGATGTCATCATGACGAGGCACTGACATTTGTTCACCCAAACTTAAATCTATGAGATTTTCTTTCATCTTCATCATCATACTCCCACGAGGAAAAACAGACCCAGACCGACAGTCACTGGTGTGAGAGAGGACAGATTAGTGTGTTTAGAGGTATGAAGAGAGAGTGTGTGTGTGTGTGTGCGTGTGTGTGTGTGTGTGTGTGTGTGTGTGTGTGTGTGTGTGTGTGTGTGTGTGTGTGTGTGTGTGTGTGTGTGTGTGTAATGTGTGTGTGACGGTGAAGAGGCTGTTGATGTGTCTGTGTTGAAAAGGTCAAAGTGACAGCGGCTGCAATAGAAACAGCTGAAGAAGAAATGTCATTACATCCCTCAGGAACACACTGAATGACAGAACGGGTTTATTACTGTTAGTGTGGTCCTAGCAGTGGTGGAAAGTAGCTACATTTACTCAAGTACTGTATTCAAGTACAATTTCTCAAGTATTTTCTTGAGTATCTACGTTAAAATATATATTTACAAGTATGAATCTACTATTGAATTATGAAAGATAAAAATGCATACATTAATATAGTACTATATTATATAAACTGCCCAGCAGAATATAAAGTAATTTAAATAAGCTCCGTTATCAGCTGCAAAATTAAAGAAATGTATCATTGTCACCAATATTGTAATATTCTTGAATTGGGCCTTTCTGCATATTAGTCCTTTAACCTTTTTTCATTTAGGTATATTATGAAGCTTATACTTTTTTACTTTGACTTAAAGAGGCCGTATAATGCTTTTCAAAGTTTTCCCTTCCCTGTAGTGTGCTATATATATAACATCTCTAACCAATCACAACAGATCCAGCAGCTAACCAATCAGAGCAGACTGGGCTCTGGTTTCAGACAGAGGGTGAAAAGCCAGATAAAGACAGTACGAGACAAATAAAGAGCTTTTTGATCATTAAAGCATGGAGACATGTCCCAGTAGAGTTAAGACGGATTTTGAATGCAGGACACAGAGTATTTTTATTTTTATTTTGTGGTACAAATACTTTTATTGAAGTGCTTCTTTCATTGAAGGTTACCAGGAAGTCATTTTAAAGATACCTCCCACTAAAACTCCTCTGTTCCTGTAGAAAAGGCAGACTGTTTGTATAAGTGTGTTTTTGTCGGAGCGTCTGCTCTCACTGTGACACTGGTGGGAGTCACAGTGAGAGCAGACGTGACTCAAGAGTTCCCCCAAACTAACAAGAAATAAAGCCGTTACTCATCCTGCATCACAACACAGCACGTCATGCAGGTAATGATGAGTCGGGGTTACATTGACAGATCTCTACATCATTCCTTTGTGATTGCTAGAAGTTCTAATTTACCTGAACACACATCCAAATAAGAGTTTCCCAAGTGTCCTTTTCCCATTTTTTATGGGGCCTTGTATGTCTCTTTGTGAAGTTGTATTATCATATTGTCCTATCTGTGTTTATTTAGAAGTAATAAATTAGGAGCACAATGGAATCATAACGCACACATACACTTCATGAAACCAGTCTCACACAAAGGCCTCTAACGTACATGACATGTATTTGGGAAAAAGTGAGCATAACTTTAATATAAACTTAGTTTTTACTGTATTAATTGTGTGAGAGTTTGTAAATAGATGTTTTGATATAGTTTCCCAGTTGGTAAGCGTGGCTCCCAAATACTTCAATTCGTCAACATTTGTATCTGTTCTTGTTTAGAAAACTGATTGAGTGGCATTGCCCTGTTTGTCTTGTTGCAAATGTGGCATTATGACACACAACCTGTTGCATCTCGTTATATCTGGAAGGAAACAAATGTGTGCAAAATATTCCTATATCCACTGAAAATTAGAATAAGTGGCATCGAAAGTTCAAAAACAGGACAGAATGCTGACGCTTATACTAAGGTGAGTTCATCGCATCTATTGAGCTCTTATATTCTGGTGTGTGATGTGTCTCTTATCTGCAGCAAATAACATGTTGTCCTTCAAGACAGAATAACTGTCTTTTGTGAAAGGAAATGAGCTATTATTAGATTAGAGTTAGATTAAATTAAATGTAATGATCCCATATTGGTAAATTGATTTGATGCAGCAGCACGTTTAGAAGGCATTGCAAAATGAGTCAAACATGTGATAAAATGTAACTTCTAACCCCAAAATAAAAAAATGTATACAAATAAACAGTGGAAGGATAATAGAATACACTTAAATATACAGAATATAATAAGTTAAAACAAACTGTATTGACCAACCTACTACTGAAACATAATATATACAATTTTATATTTTTTATATACAATATTTTTATTAAAATGAAAGTGCAAGGAAGTATAGTTTGAGTACAATATATTATGTATACTATTCATTGTAGTTCAGCACATGAATCCCTGTACCTCTCTTTCATTCCTTTTGTAACCATGAAAGCTGAACAGTTCAGTATTATTAGCTGCTGAGCGTCAGCCAAATAACACCAGCCAAACTATAAATGCATTTCTTCAGAAAGAGGGAAACGTGTGTCAGCTCTATATTTAGGAGTGAGATAAGGCGAAGCTGAGCAATTTCAAACATGTCGGCTATATGACGGTTACAGCAGGAAACGCTGAGATAAGAGGCTGGAGGTCAAAGAAGCAAAGAGTGACCCTCTTTAACGTCCACAACTCTGTCTCATGGCATCATGGGTATTTCCTGTGCTACATAATGAGCTGAGATTTACAGTAAAGAGCACATTCACTATTTGAAAGTGTAAACAAAAGATATCAGGGAGAGAAAGATAGGATTGTTTCCTATAAACTGTATGTTAACACACATTCTTTCTTTGAACTCCTTCCTCTCAAAGGAATCCATTCTCAATGTTTTTTGAAAAAGGAACAATTCATCTTTCACTGCCATGCCCATAAAACAACCAAACTACAACCTTTACACAGGTTTAACAGGTTCTCAGTAAACATTCTTTGCCCCTGTTACATACATACAATCTGATGATTATTTTCAACTTAAAAGCAACTTATTCTTTATCAGAAAAAAAGTAATCAGAATTGGTACAGTGCAAAGTGATGTTTGTATATGTCTTGTTTTGTCAGTCCAAAACCCAAAGACATTGTGTGTGTGGTGGGTTATTTCCATCCTGGTGATGGCAGTTTTTCCAGCAGAGGGATAGGGAGGATCAGGACCCCCCCCCCCCCGGACAGGTGACACTGATCCGTCAGGTTGTCCTCCTCACACTGACCTCTATGCAAACGACCAGAGGACGGATCACAGGACGGATCTGAGCCGTGCCAGAACCGACCCAGTGGGAGGATCAGGTCATGGTGGATTACCTTCACTGAGTGAACTACAAATCTCCAGCTGTTTGAGAACAAGCCCGGGAGATTATCCAAAGTGACATAAACATATATTTAAGAGCCTAATGCGGGTCAGAGAACCAACGTGATAAATACAAATCAGAGGTGGAAGAATTGCTCTATTACTTAAACAAAAGTAATGACACCACAGTGTAGAAATACTCTGTCACAAGGAGATGCTCATTTGAATATGTAATGTTCTGATACCCTGTGATTTTCTGTCCTTATCTTGTCTTAAAGAGGTCCTATTCTTCTTTTTGGGGTTTCCCTTCCCTGTAGTGTTATATAGGTTTTTGTGCATGTAAATGGTCTGCAAAGGCTCAAATCCAAAAGTTCCCTCTGGAAGGAGGTTCTCCCCCACACACTCCCCCCTGCATGAAACGCCTCCAGTGGAATCTATTGTTTACTTCCTGAACATAGTGACATCACTACGTAACACTTGTGCTTCTATTGGCTAGTTCTCCAACACATTGTACATGATAGGCTAAGGGGCGAGACATCTCTAAGTGTTTGACCAATCACAGCAGAGCCAGCCAGCTAACCAATCAGAGCAGACTGGGCTCTGGTTTCAGACAGAGGGTGAAAAGAGGTGCTGCAGCACGGGCAGTATGAGAACAATAAAGAGCTTTTTGAACATTAAAGCATGGAGACATGTCACAGTAGTTGTTAATTGTATTATTAAACCAAATAGGAAAATAAACTAAAGTTAACAAAATAGATGGAGTAAAAAGTAAAGTAATTACCTCTGCAATTTAGAGGTTTAAATGTATAAAGTAGCAGACAATGGAAACACTTGAATAGAGCACAATTAAATAAAAATGGTACTTCAGTAGGCTACAGTAGTCTTGGCATGTTGATAAGAGGCAACTTAAAATGCCATTAAATCATTTAGCTTAAATAAGTTGGGGTCATCTTTGAGTCTATTTTAATTTTTTAGAATTTATCCAACTGGAAATTGCAATCGAAAAATGGCCTCTGCGTTGGACACAGCTTGTTATGAAGGAAGGAAGAAGTCGCTGCACTGAGAGTACATTTTCTTTGCCATTACCCCACTTCTTTAGGAGACTAGCAGCAGGTCTGATTTGATTAACTCCAATGAGAGAAGTAACGTGGAAACAGTTTTTGACCTGTTCTTTTGCCCCACAATCAACACAGTAAATATTAGATCCATATCTTAAGAATATTCTGATGCTGAAATGGCATATTTTATACGGGAACATTTACTTTGTTTAGACATTTTTCTCTGAACAAGGTCTTGCGTGACCTGACAATTAACACACAAGAAAAAAATGGAAGAGAAGACATTTCATAAAAAAAGGTGAAGAAATATCACAAAATGTTGTTAAAATACCTCTGGAAAAGCATTTAAGTACATGTTGCTGATAATACTGCTTGTACTTGAGTCATATTTTTTAATCCTGGAATTGTACTTGTAATGGAGCTTTTTAAACCATAGCGTTTCAGTACTTTTTCCACCTCTGATTTTAAAAGCAGCTCAAATCCTACCAGCTGTGATAGAGAGAAGGTTTATTGAAGTGTCTCCAGACCTCCATCAACAGAATATCTACACCTCTGAACCTTGACCTCCTCTCTGTGCCGATGAACATCTGGAAGTATTTATGAATACGAGTCTCAGCTGCACAGATGTAAATGCTTCCTACCTTCTCCATGGCTGAGCTCACGTCCATGTCGTCCGGAGTGTCTGCTCCTTCTGCCTCTGCTCTTCCAGAACAATGGGGCTTTAAATTCCTCCCCTGTCGGCCACACTTCCTCTCCCCCCGCCCACACTCACTCCTGCCGCCACTCCTCTCCCCAGCCCCCTGCAATTTAACCGTCTAGACTTTCATCTTCTCCCTGCTGCAAAACATCAGCTTGTCTTTTGCCTGTCTTTTTCTGGTTGCACTTCACTTTCTTTCCCTTCTTTCTACTTTGATGAACTTGCAACACCTTTCTCCTCTTCAGCTGTAGACTTTATTTCCTGTTTTTATGTTGTTCTTCACTCTCCCCTCCTGATTCGTCCTGCTCTACTTCTCCACCCCTGCAACATGAACTCAGCAGAATTCTTCACCTCCTGATTTTTCTTTAAGTCTCCACTTTCTCCCTTACAGTGAGCTACTTCGTTCACCTCTGCTTCTCTTTCTGACTCTGTTTTGCTTTGTTAAATATGACAGGTTCCCGGGGGAGTAAAGTTGATTTACTCATGAACTGTACTCTCTATATATTATGGAAAACATTATTGATGCAAGTAGCTTTTAAATATTGCAGCCAACTGAGGTAGAGAACGTTTTTACACTTTGTTATGTCCGGTGGCTTCATTTACTGTATAACATTTGCTCGTTGATTTATAAGACCATTATAGGTTTTTTAAATTCTAATGTGCATGTAAGTAGTAACTACAGTTGTCAGATACATTTAGACAGCTACAAAATTGGTATACAAATGTAAAGGAGTTGAAGTGTATAGTACTAGTACTTTCACTTTTAAAGGGGGCATCTAAATCTGGAAAAACTGGTGCTTTGGCTGCTGGATTTGGCATCCTATCTCTAACTTTGGCCAGGATGGTCATCATCTCACCAAAATCAGACAGGTGTTAGTTATTCCACTCTAAGCAAACAAAAGCAATTTACTCCGAGCCTATCAGCTGAAATAATAAGGGGCCCTATTATGCTTTTTGGGGTTTTTCCTTTCCAATATTATGTTTAATAGTTTTTTTGTGCATGTAAATGGTTTGAAAACACTCAAATCCTGTGTTCCCTCCAGAGGGAGTTTCTCTCCCACACACTCCCCCCCTGCCTGAAACGCCTCCATTGGACTCCTTTGTTTACTTCTGTAACATAATGACATCTTTACTGTGTAACACTTGCACTTCTATTGGCCAGTGCTTCAACACATTGTACGTGATCACAACAGAGCAACATCCATCTAATCAATCACAGGCAGTAGGAGAAAAATAAAGACCTTTTTCAACATTAAAGCATCTAACAATTTCACAGTAGAGGCGAAAAATACAAATAAGAACCTAAACATTTGCATAATAATTCCCCTTTCAGTATTTTGGTGCAAATAGTCTTCTACTTTTGCTTAAGTAAGGTTTTTTCAACAATAGTATTGCAGCTTTTAAAAGATCAGAGAACTTCCTCTAACAGTGCAGGTAAATATTGTTACAGCTGCAGAACATGTATCTCACAGTAGGCAGATGTATGGTCTTTAAAACAGCAGCTGAACTGTGTGCCTCCTACAGCAGGCTGGAGGACTAACTGGGGTGGTGAGGCCTGGCTGCTCTGTTTGTGTTTTTAATCTGAGACAAAGTGCACCCTGAGGGATTCCCTGCGCACGCTCAGCCAGCCAATCAGAGTGACCCTTAAAACTTTTCGGGTCAATCAATGCCAGGCAGGGATACTAAATGTGGCTAATAAGGCTACAAAGGGGCCCTGTATTAAAGGTCTCCTATTATACTATTTTTAGGCATATATTATAGGTCTTGGATATATAAAAAAAACTAGGGCCAGGACTTTAACGCGTTAATTAAGATTAATTAATTACACAAAAATTAACGCGTTAAAAAAATTAACGCATTTTAATCGCACTTATTTTTGCACTGCGGAACGTTTCTCACTGGTTGAGTTTCAGGCGTACCGATTATACTGGAGCACCAACTAACGTTCATGACTTCAGACAACAACAAACCACAGTGAACAACAGTGGGAAATGTTGTTTTAAAAAACGGACGGATGGAAGCGTCGATAAGAGCACGGTTGTGTGCAAATTATGCAAAAAGGAATTCGCATATCAAGCCTCAAGTATCACCTCAATGCAAAATATATAGCAGCTAGCGTGGAAGCTAGCGTGGACGTTAGCCTATTTTATCGCGTTCACACCAAAAAGAGCCGGTACTAAAATTAGTTCATGAGAACCTTTTTACCCCCACGAAAGTCCCTGCTAGAGAGCAGAGAGCTGCTAGAGAGCAGGGACTTTCGTGCGGCTCTCTTGTGAGAAAATAGCTATATTTCTGATTGGCTGGCGGATTGCAAACCACGCCCCGTAAAACTCCCAAAAAGTTTTGTGAAGCCGCCATTTTATTATCCTCGTATTAGCATTATTAGCATTAGCCCAGCGCAGAAACGCAGAGAGACTAACTTATGGCAACACAAAATAAAACATGGGAGCGGTGGACATGAGGAGGTGTCGGCGTTCTGGCGATTTACTCGGAAGACTGCTGGGACTCCCAGCAGCTTCTACTGAAGCCAGTCCCCAACTCCGGGGACTTCCGGCCGGGGACTTTGGGCGGCAGTATACGCCGTGAAGTGGTTTGCGGCCTGCCAGTAAACCCAAAGCAGAAGAAGAAGAAGTGACGTCAGCGGCTTCATTTGCCTAATCCACCCCCAGGTTCAAAGAGTTCTCATGAACTAAATTCTCATGAACCTTTGTGGGAAAAGTACTGCGGTGTGAATGCGCCTAATGGTATACTAAAATCCATGTGAAAAAAATTGCTTCTCACTGTTCTTAGGTCAAATATTTATATGTGATTAAAAATGCGATTAATTTCGATTAATTAATTACAAAGCCTCTAATTAATTAGATTAATTTTTTTAATCGAGTCCCGGCCCTAAAAAAAACATGTCTGAATTGTTTTGCTCAAAATACCAAACAGATCACCCATTCCAGCCCTGCCTCATCTCATACCGCTCTATTTCAGCCCTATTATGGTGCCTTCACACCGGACGCAATGCGATTTTTGGGGGCGGCGCGATTACATGTAAAGTCAATGCAAATTCACTCCGGCGGCGCGCATAACGCGGTTGATGCGAATGCCACGGCGCGATTGAGGCAATTGACGGGGGCCGCGATAATCGCTCGAGTTGAATTTTTTCAACTCGAGCATCAAATTCACATGACGCGTTCGCACGGTAGCCAATCAACAGTGAGGATCTCAACCTGCCACTGACGTTGAACCAGAAAACCAAAACATCAGCCGTTAGCTGTTAGCCCTCAGAGCTCACAGCTCCTCATATCTGTTCAGAAACTAGACATAAGTTAAACAAGGCAAGGCAAGGCAAGGCAAGTTTATTTATATAGCACTTTTCAACACAAGGCAATTCAAAGTGCTTTACAAAAAATGAAAGACATTATGAAAAAGGCAACATTAAGAAAAAGGCAAGTAACAAGTAAAAACCACAGACGGTCTGTGTCATGGTGAATACAGTCGCTGGTTTATTTATGTCTGTAGGCCGTTTGTGAGTGTGGACGGAGCATATACAACATTAGCTTAGCCTGATCGATCTCCATTCAGAAAACACGCATTTTTAAAGGTGTTTCACCTGCCGTCTTGTCTGCAGACTTGTCAAAGAAATAAATTCATGGTTTTCACGAACCGGTATCAGTATGTAGTCATTCCCGCATCATTTTGAAACGTGTATTACAAATACATCACGGTAAAATATGTTCATTTAGTTGTAGTTGGTATCTACCATTATTTACATGGATATAGGCCCCGCCCCCTGGCCAGTGTGTCTTGCTTGAATGACACGAATAAACACAGCTGACAGCCGTGGTGAAACTCCAGTGATTAGAGCCATGCGAATATTCGCATCGTGTCCGTGTGAACCATAGACTGTATATATAACGCAGCATTAGAGAAGTGCTGATTCTGGGTCTGTAGCTTTAAATGTTGCAAAGCTGCTTCTGGACACGCCCCTTTGGAGCATGCATGAGCTCTCCTCTGTGAATAGAGAGGTTTCTACTCAGATACTCAGCTAAACGCTGCCGTGATTAAACGCCATATTATGTTCCAAACCACAACAAGGATTATTTCTGAAACAGTATGGAGCTCAAATGCTTGTTCTCTCGCGGGTTTACTACAAGGTGAGTACCTTTTTATATCCTGCTTTTTTACATTTATTCTCTCCAGTACAGGTTTGCTCTGTGTGTTAGCGATGCTTGCTAATGTAAACACAGACCATATTAATTCCAAAACACGTTGTGAATTGTTTCTGATACAGCAACGTTTCTGATAGGGTCGTGGGCGTAAAGCCAGCCCACATTTCCGATATGACATCATATCGGCAGAAAATCTGGATCAGCTCCGTTGTACCCCCGTTTTTAGAGATATGGGTAAGGAGGAAAAGAGAGAGGGTTGTATTTTCTGACACTTTGTGAGTCTCCTTACACAACGGGACACATATTTATGTATAAAAGACATCAAAAAGCGCATTTTATTCAAACCATATTGTTATTCCTTTAAACTGATCACATTTATTATTTTAACAATCAAAAGATTTATGCAAATTCTCAGAAATGTGAATGAATTAATGGTGTCAATTAGTTTAAAAATCATATAATAATCTGTGACTAATCATATGTCTAAAATACTACCATTGTCTTGTTTTTTGCAACCCGGTATCACGGCAAGATGTGAACATGTGACGATTTACCATGCTGGGAGACGTGAAGATGTCACGGTTTCGTCCCTTCAAACGTGACAGTTACACGGTATTATTAACATGTATGGAGGACAGAACATGACATAAGTATAAATAAATAAATAAATGTGTAAATAAATGTATGAAGAAATACAGAAATAAATAAATAAATACGGAAATAAATAAATAAATACAGGAATAAATAAATACAGGAATAAATAAATGAGGAAATAAATAGAGAAATAAATAAATGTGGAAATATATACACAAATAAATAAATAAAAGAATAAATGCATA